TACCAATATCCAGCAAGGACCACAGCACAATAACTGGGAGCATTGTTTCCACCAGAGCAGTGACAGTCACTGGCAGGAACTATGTTACCCAGACTTGTGGGGAGGCAGCAATAACTCTGGACAAAGCCCTGGGGAGATTTTAGGATAAATGATGGGAGATAGCATACCGAATTGCTAGGACCATTGATAGAGGAGGCTCCTATACTAGCAGATGAGCCTTTAAGAAAAAAGGTAATAAAAGTTCCCATGGTGCAGGGTGACCTAAGGAGACAAAGAGGGTAGTAGACTGCAATCAATGGCATCTGAGAGGAGGTAGTAATAGGACCTTGAAGTTCATCCCTTGTTGCTCGCTCTGAGGCTTCATTTTATGTGTCAATTTGTGTTTACTAAGATACCAGGATAGCCAGTAAAATATTATTTCTAAAAAGGGTGCCTGTGAGGATGTGTTCAGATGAGATTAGCATTTGGATCAAGAAACCAAAAATTAAAAAAAATTAAGATTCACCCTCACCAATGCGGATGGGCAGCAACCAGTCAGTCAAAGGTGCATTTAGAACCAAAAGATAGGGGATCGGTGACTTTATGTGTGTATCTCCCCGACCTTCCTCTCCCTCTCTCTTTCCCCTTGAGACATCCCTCTCCTAATGCTTTCAGTCACTGGTACTCCTCTTTTGTCTGTTTGTGTATAATACTGAGATTCTAATTCAGGGCTGTGCCCGTGTCCTTGTTAGTACTCTACCACTTGAGCCACACCCCTATCCCTTTTCTGTTTTGTTTTCCTGTACTATTGGTGGGGTTTTTTTGTTTGTTTGTTTTTTGTTTTGTCCAGAATTGGCCTCAGTCCAAGATCTTCCTACCTACAACTGCCCACATACCCGGGACTACAGATGTGTATTGTGCCTGATTATTGATTAGCATGGAACCCCATGAACTTTTTGCCCAGTTGAGCATCAAACTACAATCTTTCCCATCTCCACTTTCTGAGAAGCTGGGTTTGTAGTCATGAACCACTGCACCTGGCTATTGATCCTTCATTGATAGGCTGGAACTATACCTCCAGCTTTCTTCAAACTCCAACTTGCAGCCTCCATAATCTCATGAGCCAGTCACTCCTAATAAATGTGTTTCTGTGTATACTAGTGTGTGTCTCCTATTGGATGTATTTCTCTCATGAACCCTATTAAAGAACCAGGTATGGTAGTTTACACCAATAATCCTAGGTATTTGAAAGACCGAGATTGGGAGAAACACAGTTCAAAGACTTCTCAGGCAGAACACTTTGCAAGACCCCATCTCAACCAAGGGCTGGGCATGGTGAAGTGTACCTGTTATCCTAGCTGAAATGGGAAGCTTAAAATACAGATAACTGTCTAGGTAAGGCCTAAGCATGAAGTGAGACATTATCTTAAAAATAACCATCACACACACACACACACACACACACACACACACACACACACACACACACACACAATGGCTGGAAGTTGGGCTCAGCAATAGAGTGTATGCCTGGCAAGTGAGAAGCCCTGAGTTCAAACCCCAATGCCACCAAAAACCAAAAAAACTCAAATACATTCCCCATGCGTCCTTAAAGTTGAAAGGTACCTCTTATACCACAAATCTTAGAGGAAATGTTCAACTATTACTTCCTTAATACCCAGAAGCACAAACAGAGCTTGAAGAGAGTCTATTTAACAGGACTACACCAGGCTGTGAGCCGGGCAGCAAGTTTCCCTGGCAGGTAGTTCCTCCTATTTGCCTCAACTCAGAGCAGAGGCCATTTCTGCTTATTGCAAAGAAAGCTTTCTTTGTGTTTTCCCTCTCCCCAGGGACCCAATGGAGACAGAGAATCCTTAAATCATTCCCTGGTGAATAGGTTGTTCAGGGTCCCTTATGCTACCCAAGAAAAATCAGAAACAGGTAGAAGCTGGGGGTGCAAAAGAAGTAGTTTATTCCTAGCCTTTTCCCACTGCAGATTCCCCACAAAGGTTTTAGGGATACCCAGGGAACTTGCAGCAGTAAGTCTCATGTGATCTGGTAGTTGCCACAGGCAACACTCTATCTTCCCTGAAAACAGGAGACAGGTACACTTTTTGCCTTTGTTTGTTCTGTTTTATTTTCAATATTGGAGCTTGAATTCAGGGTCTACTAAGTAGGTAATTTTCCTCTTGAATCATATCTAAGTCCTTCTTGCCTTACTTTTCAGGAAAGGGCTTTCTTTTTATATCCAGGCTGGCCTGGACCACAATTCTCCTGTTTTAATGACTGTCTCATAGCTGACGACAGGTACAAGCCACCATATTGATTTTTCCATTGAGATGAAGTCTTACTAAATGTATGCCCAGTTTGGTCTTGAATGATGATCCTCCCTATACTCACCCCTTGAGCAATGAGGATTACAGGTGTGAGCCACAGTGCCTAGCTTCTCTTTGTATTTTTAGATATATTGGGGATGATGGTATAGAGGTAGAGAGAAAAACTGATTGCTTCTAATTCTGAATTCACTTTAAAGATGACTACTCAGTGGACTGAAAGTTGAATCTCCTTTCCATTTTTCTAAGGTGGAAGGATTGCTCTTTCCTGTTTGAGAGAAGAGAAATGTTATAGTGAAGTTCTCAAAAGCAGGGCCTTGGGCTGGGAAGGTGGCTCAGTGGTAGAGCGCTTGCCTTGCATGCCTGAGGCCCTGGGTTCGATTCCTCAGCACCACATAAGCAAAAAGAAAAAAGCCAGAAGTGGCGCTGTGGCTCAAATGGTAGAGCGCTAGCCTTGAGCTGAAGAGCTGAGGGACAGCGCCCAGGCCCAGAGTTCAGGCCCCACAACCGGACCCCCCCCCAAAAAAAAAATCAAAAGCAGGGCCTCAGTTGGGCATTGGTGGATCACGCCTGTAATCCTAGCTACTCAGGAGGCTGAGATCTGAAGATTGCAGTTCAAAGCCAGCCAGGGCAGGAAAGTCTGTGAGGCTCTGATCTCCAATTAACCACCAGAAAACAGGAAATGGTGCTGTGGCTCAAAGTACAATGCTAGCCTTGAGTGAAAGAGCTGAGGGACAGCTTCCAGAGCCTGAGTTCAAGATTCTGTGGGTTTATTGTTTCTGAACAACTTATGCAGTTTCTACTCTTTTATCAAAATATTTTTTTTAAAGTCCTAAGACCATAACTTTATTTTATTTATTTATTTATTTATTTATTTTTGGTTTGGTCATGGGGCCTGAACTCTGGGCCTGGGCGCTGTCCCTCAGCTCTTCAGCTCCAGGCTAGCGCTCTACCACTTGAGCCACAGCGCCACTTCCGGCTTTTTTCTTTTTGCTTATGTGGTGCTGAGGAATTGAACCCAGGGCCTCAGGCATGCAAGGCAAGTGCTCTACCACTGAGCCACCTTCCCAGCCCTTTTTTATCAAAATATTTTATAATCTCTTTGATACCATCCTTTGAGTTCCCAGACACTAGTGTTTGAACTCAGGGCCCTGGTGCTGACCATTAACTTTTTCTGCTCAAGGCTGGTGCTCTATCATTTGAACCACAGCTCTATTTGTAACTTTTTTTTTGTTGTTGGTCATGGGGCTTCAACTCAGGGCCTGGGTGCTGTCCCTGAGCTTTTTCACTCAAGGGTAGCATTCTACCTCTATTGAGCCACAGCACCATTTCCAGTTTTCTCTAGTGAACTGGAGATTATAATAGTCTCATGGACTTTCCTGCCCAAGCTGGCTTTGAACCACAATTTTCAGATCTCAGCCTCCTGAGTAGCTAGGATTACAGATGTGAGCCATAGTGCCGGGCTACTAGCTTTTTTTTTTTTTTTTTGGTGGGTCATGTTTGAGCGCTGGGCCTGGGCACTGTCCCTCAGCTCTTCAGCTCAAGGTTAATGCTCTATCATAGAGCTACAGTGCCAACTTCCGGTTTTCTAGTGGTTTATTGGAGATAGGAGTTTCACGGAGTTTCCTGCCCGGATTGGCTTTGAACCGCGATCCTCCGATCTCAGCCTCCTGAGTAGCTAGGATTATAGGCGTGAGCCACTGGTGCCCGGCTGCTACTAGCTTTTTGATGGCTAATTGGAGATAAGAGTCTCATAGAGTTTTCTTCCTTAGGCTGGCTTCAAACTACAGTCCTCAGATCTCAGCCTTCTTGTGGAGCCAGAATTGCAGGCATGAGCCACCAGTGCCTGCCTCATAGTATTCTTTAAAGTTTTGAGTTTAGTGTGTGTGTGTGTGTGTGTGTGTGTGTGTGTGTTTGTCCCCCTCCCTCCTCAGGGAGATCTGAACCCCTTGACTAGTTTCAAACGTGGAAGGCTCTGCCTATACACCATCATAGCTCCTAATGAGGTCTACCCTTAAGAGCTATCTCAGGTGCGCTCCCCCAGTGAGTTCACTAGCAAAGGCTTAGCACATCTCCGCCTCCCTCCTTCTTAGGATCTCAGGGGCATTTTAACATATACCACGGCATCTTTTCAATATTGACTTTATAGGCCTTCCCCTAAACTGGATAAGTTCTTCAGGCGGAGACTGGAGCTGCCATCCCGCTAGGGTGTCACCCACAAAAGAAACAGAAGTTCCACCCATAAATCCAGGAGGCTGCCTCATTAACCTCGGGGCCTCTATTTCCAGTCTGGTTTATTCCCTGGGAGGAGGAGGAAGCCAGGTTGGCCGGATGGGAAGGCAATGGCGTCAGTGTGAGGTCACGCTACATGGTCCCGAGTGCCACCTTGGGATGGCATCCACCACACCGAGGTGACAGGAACGCAGAATTCAGGGATGCAGCTGGAGGAAAGACAGAGACCCAAGTCACTCAGACTACCTGCAGGAGAGAGAAGAAAGCGGGGAAAGCTGGCGGGGCGGGGCGGCGCGGCGCGGCGCGGGGCGGGGCGGACGCCACACCTGGGCACCGGCCCCCAGCGCCCGCCCAGAGTGAAAGTAAGCAGACAGCGCGGCCACGCAGCGGCGGGGCCGGCGGCGTCGGGGGCGGGACTTCCGGAACCCATTTGCCTGAGTGGCAGGGGAACCGGAAGTGGAGGCGCTGCTGCTGGTGCTGGGGCCCGAGGAGGGACGCGCCGGAGCGGGGCCGCCGGGATTGAGCCAGCGACAGACGTGCCACCCGCCGACGCCGCAGCCTCTTGGGGCCCGCACGGACCCTCTCCCTGTGTGAGTGCATCCATAGTGGCGGGGACCCGTGGCTCCGAGGTCCGGGCGGGAGGGGACCGCGAGGTGTTATTGTGAGAGGCCCGCGGCCTCCCCTCCCCCACCCGCGGCCCCTCCCCCGCGCCATCACCGGGGCGGCCCTCGGGGGGCCTCGCGCCGGCCTGCTCCGCGGCCCGGCCGGCCTGCGCCTAGGACCTCCTTCCCAGCCTCCATCGCCAAGCGTGGAGACTTGTCTCGGCCGCGGGCTGGCGCCCCCTCCCCGCTTTTCCTCGTGGAGGAGCGTGGCGGGGCGCCGCGCCCTGCCCACCCTCCCCCCCCCCGACCGGGCCTCCCCGCACCCCAGCTCCCGGAGGCCGCGCGTTCACGCCTGCGGGGGCTCCTCCGGCCTCCAGACGCAGCTGTTACCTTTTCCCTCCATCCCCGAGGGGAACCTCTGTGTCTTCTCCTGTCTCTTCCAGGCGCAAACCTGAGTGTGGGAGCGTGTGGGAGCGCGTGTGCGCGCGCACTATCTCCCTTCCCCTTTTGTTGAGAATTTTCTACTCGTTAGAAACTTCTCTGCTACCTTCTTCGAGATTCCTGTCTGGACCCCAGCACCTTTTAGAGATGAGACCCTGAGAGACTGATGATTTACCCAGTATCAAGTAGCTAGTCAAACGTCAATGGATTGTGGGTTGGCTTGTTTGCGTCTCAGCGCTAGAGATTGCACCCAGAGTCTCGTGCGTACGGTTCACAAGGTTTTTCCACTGCATCTGGTCCTTTTTTTTTTTTTTTAAAGACAGGATCCGGTTAGGAAGCTCAGACTGACTGAACTTTTTAAGTAGCCTGGGCTGACCTTGAACTCTTTATCTTCTTGCTGAATGCCTTCGAAGTGCTGGAATTACAGGAGTAGGCTTAGCAAATCTCCGGGCCAAAACTTAAGGTGGATAGACTTTTTTCCTGAGTGTCTTCCCCACCCGAACCAAGTCCATTTACTGGGTCGGAGACTTGAGTTCCACAAATTTGATTGAGTCGTTGTAGAGTACTCATTATTTGGTCTTCCATAGTTCCCAGGTCAACATTGATTTCAAAATTTAGATACAGACCTTAAGAAAACCTAACACTTTGTAGAGCTGCCTATGGAGAAAGGAAAGACCACTTAGAACCTAGGACTTCATTTTGTACAGCTTTAAATTGGGCGGAGAGGTTGAGTGTGAGGTAAAGATGTGGAGAAAGACAAGATACAGAGGGCCATGATTGCCTTTCTCTTCTTCCTTTGCAGACTGTGTTCTGACATAAAGGTTGCTTCCTTGTGAAGGAGCAGGGGAGGAAATAATTGTGCATTAATTTCTTGGCTAGGGCATTTGATGATAAATAATGGATGTGCTGGACCCTTGTTATCCACCTGCCAGCCAATGAGGCAAAGTAGACTCTGCCAACTCTGTCTGAAGCAAAATGAGGAGTCCTCAGGTCTGAGAGGAAACCTAAATTAATTCTTATTTCATTGTTTGCCATCTGTTTCATGGTTCAAATGTACTCAACATAAAAATCCAGTTGAGCTTGAGAATATGTGTGTGTGTGTACGTATGTATATATGTATGTATATGTATATATGGGGGTCTTGGGACTTAAACTCAGGGCCTAGGCACTGCCACTGATCTTTTGTGTTCAAGGCTAGAGCTCTAAACATTTGAGCCACACCTTCACTTCTGGTTTTTTGGTGGTTGGTTGGAGATCAGAGTCTCACAGATTTTCCTGCTTCATAGCATGGTGTCCAAATCTCAGCTCTGCATAGCTAGGATGTCAGGTGTATGGCCTTACAATAACTTTTTTTTTTTTGGGGGGGGTCAGTCATGGGGCTTGAACTCTGGGCCTGGGCGATGTCCCTCAGCTCTTCAGCTCAAGGCAAGCGCTCTACCATTTGAGCCACAGCATCACTAACGGTTTTCTGGTGGTTTATTGGAACTAAGAGTACCATAGACTTTCCTGCCCGGGCTGGCTTTGAACTCAGATCTCAGCCTCCTGAGGAGCTAGGATTACAGGCATGAGCCACTGGCGCCCGGCTAATAATTCTTTTTGAAGGTGCTTTCTCCACAGATAGTATAATTGTCTGGAAATACAAGTGTTGTATTTTCATAATCCGAGTTAAGTAAAGAAGATAGAAAAGGCAGGGAAAATGTGCAATTTGCTTACTCTTCCTGAGGAACTCATTTTGACCTACATTAAAAGTTGCTTCTCTCAGACTGGTAGAGGAACTCAAGAGGTGTAGAAAGGCTTCATAGAAAGCATGCAAGAGCAAACAATCTTGAGTTCAAACCCTAGTATTGAAAAAATTACTTCTCTAGAGTATAGTCTGTCCTGGAAATGGACAAAATTTTTGTTTACCTACCTTTTGTCATTCAGCTGGGTTTGCTTTTTTTTTTTAACAGGCTGAGTTTGCGTTTCATAACTTGTTATGAATCAGTTAGGTGAAATGGAACAAACCAAATCCCTCTGGGTTGGTTCTTTTTTGTGTGTGATGCTGAGGATTGAACCCAGAGCCACAATTTTTTTTGGTCAGTCATGGGGCCTGAACTCTGGGCCTGGGCCCTGTCCCTCAGCTCTTCAGCTCAAGGCTAGTTCTCCAGCACTTGAGCCACATTGCTACTTCCGGCTTTTTCTGCTTATGTGGTGCTGAGGAATTGAACGCAGGGCCTTATGCATGCAAGGCAAGCACTCTACCACTGAGCCACCTTCCCAACCCCAGAGCCACAATTTTTGAGTGCTCTCTCACTGTGGCATATTAGAAGCTCTCTTCCCTTTTAAAGAATTTTTCTTGCAGTTTCATTATTCTAAGGATGTCTGTATTGCAAAATTGTCCTTTACCTGGGACAGGAATCCCACTCAGATTTTTATGGTATACTACAAAAGATTCTTTTGGATAGCTACTGATTATTCGTTTATTTTTGTTTGTTTTGCAATAAAGTCCCCAAGTTGAATACTAAATGAATAGTGCTCTTGGTTCTGCATTTCTGGCCTGATTTTTATTTTTTACCCGTACCAGGGTTTAAATTCAGGGCATCTTTCTCAGCTTTCTGGCTCATGGTTGGTACATTATCTCCTGAGCCCAGCCCAGCATTTTGCTGGTTAATTAGAGATGGGATCTTGAGGTTTTTCTCTCTGCTGGCTTAGAACCTCAGTCCTTCAAATCTCAGACTCCTCTGAATAGCTATGATTATGAAGCTACCTGTGCTGGGTTTCTGGCCTGATTGTTAAAGAGGAGAACACGTGGACTATGGCTCAGTTTTCTTTTCTGGGTGTTTAAAACTGTTACCACTTTAGAAGCCATAGGCATTGGTGAAAGCATGAAAGTTACATTGTATTGTTAAGAGTTTTTTTTTTTTTGGATTGGCAAAAAACAAATCCAAGGGTCCGGGGCACAAAGAAACAAGGTTTTTACTCAGATACTTTGCCCTTGGAAAGGAAGGCTGACCTTGTATTCATAGTTAAAGAGAATAAAAGGATGACCAAATTGGTTGTGTTTTTAATCGTTTCCAGTTTTAATTGCTTTAGCTTAATTTTAATTTTTTTTTTTTTTTTTGCTAGTACTGAAATTTGAACTCAGGCTCTGCTTGCTTGACTGTTGATCTATTATGGAGTGCTTCCAGCCTAGCTTTTGCTGTTGTATGTATTTTTTATTTTCAGTGGTGGGGCTTGAACTCAGGCCCTCCATACTTTCCTTGAGCTCTTTTGCTCAAGGCTAACACTCTACTGCTTTGAGCCCCAGCTCCACTTCCAGTTTTTTGAATAGCTAATTGGAGAAAAGAATCTTAACAACTTTTCTGTCTTCTTTGGGCTAGCTTTGAACCAGGATCCTCAGAGCTCAGCCTCCTGAGTAGCTAGGATTACAGATGTGATGTTTATTTTAGAGATGGAATCTTGCAGACTTTTCTGCCCAGACTGGCTTCAGACCTTCTCCTCCACATCTCAGCCTCCTGCATAGCTAGGATTACAGATAGAAGCCACTCATCTCCCCCCTACCCCCCCCACACTCTTTGCCAGTGAAGAACTTTAGAATTCAGATGAAAGTAATTCTCTCGAGTTCAAAATGTCATCAAATATAGATAGTGATATAAAAATGTAAGTGAACAACTTGTTAAACTAGCTTGTCATAGTTTCTTTATTCCTTTCTATATGAAATATAATATCCTTTGTTCAAGAGTAATAGGCTTTGGTTTGCTCAACAGCAATAAGGGTTAGGAAATTACCTCATTGGTAGAGCACTTGCCTAGCATGTTTGATCCTCAAACAATCCCTCCTACCCTCTTACCTATTTGCACACATGGACACACAAAAGGAAGAAGGAAAGAAAAACTCTAAACAACAATGAACATAATAGATTGAGTATCCTTAATGCAAAATTGCTCTTTTTTTTTAACTATCATGATACCACAAGTGGAAATTTCCATACCTGACTTCATATGATGGATCATAGTCAAAAGGCAAGGCACTAGCAACATTGTAAAAAATTACTATTAGGCTATCTAAGGTACATGTGAGACAAATGAAATTCATGTTTTGGCTTGTTCCTATCCTCAAGATATCTTAGTATGTGTTTGATGTGTTTGTAGATATTCTGAAATCCAAAACATTCCAGATAAAGATGTCCAACTTGTATATCTCTTTAGTTTCAAATTCTGCCCCTCTTATTTAATCAGCTCTTAGAACCAGAGAACAGATTCCTTAGATCTGAGTGCAATTTGATTTTAATAATAAAGTTCCTTGAACTCTGGGCCTGAGCGCTGTCCCTCAGCTCTTCAGTTCAGTGCTAGCGCTCTACCACTTGAGCTACAGTGCCACTTGTTTTCTGGTGGTTTATTGGAGATAAGAATTTCATGGACTTTCCTGCTCGGGCTGGCTTTGAACCTTGATCCTCAGATCGCAGCCTCCTGAGTAGCTAGGATTACAGGCGTGAGCCACTGGCCCTGAATTATGACTTTTTAATATTGCTACTTTGGATAAATTGTTTATCTGATGGATGAATTTTGAAAAGCCATGTCTGTAAATTAGTTTGTAGATCTAAAGAGATGTTAGTTTAGCTGGACGTCAGTGGCTCACGCCTGTAATCCTAGCTCCTCAGGAGGCTGAGATCTAAGGATCGAGGTTCAAAGCCAGTCCGGGCAGGAAAGTCTGTGAGACTCTTATCTCCAATAAATGACCAGAAAACCAGAAGTGGCGCTATGGCTCAAGTGGTAGAGTGCTCACCTTGAGCTGAAGAGCTGAGGAACATCGCCCAGGCCCAGAATTCAAGCCCCATGACCAACCAAAAAAATTCTGAGGGGTTGGAGGCATGGCTCAATTGGTAGAGCACTAGCTAGTGACTGAAAGCAGCAAGTACAGAGTTCAAGTTCCAGTCTTAGACCTAAAAAAATTTCTGAAACATTCAAGTGTTTGGACCCTACTCTGCATCAGCCTTTGCTCCTATGCTTGCTTTCCCTTTATGCTGTCATTGTGTGTGTGTGTGTGTGTGTATGCACCTTCTCTTTATCTTCAAGAGAAATCTGCCTTGTGAGACAGATTATTTTAGATTGTATCCATTTATTAGAAATTTGTGTTGGGGCTGGGAAGGTGGCTTAGTGGTAGAGTGCTTGCCATGCATGCATGAGACCCTGTGTTCGATTCCTTAGCACCACATAAGCAGAAAAAGCCAGAAGTGGCACTGTGGCTATGGTGGTAGAGCGCTAGCCTTGAGCTGAAGAGCTGAGGTACAGCTCTCAGACCTAGTGTTCTGGCCCCCCCACCGACAAAAAAAAATTTTATCTCTCTCTGCTGTAGCAGTACAACTGAGTGGTAAGGTTCATGCTTAGCATGCTTAGATTCAATGCTCAGCACCTGTGCTCCTAGGTTGTGGGTGTGCACATGTGCGCCTGCGTGCACACACATGCACATCCCAGGTCTGGAGTTGAACTCCGGGCCTGGGCATTGTCCCTGAGCTTATTCACTCAAAGTTCTACCACTTGAGCCAGTGCTTCACTTCTGGCTTTTTGGTGGTTAGAGATAAAAGTCTCATGGACTTTCTTGCCTGGGCTGGCTTTGAACCTTGGTCTTCAGATCTCAGCCTTCTGAATTGCTAGGGTTTGCTAGGGTTACAGGCTTGAACCACCTGCATCCAGGCTGCTCCTTGTTTTCAGGGCTTTACGTTTTGTTTTTTAATCTTACCTATATGTACTTATATCTCACTTTCCATCTACTGGCCTTCTTTTTTGGCTTAGGGTCATGTAGCCTAAACATGTATATTTTTCCAGATAATCTTTGGGAACTTTAAGACAGCTGTTTATCTCCTTTTTTTTTTTTTTTTCCTTCTCTAGTTTCTCGTTAGGTTGTAAATATAGCTTGTTTTTTTCAGCCATATCTAATTGTGAGCCATCTTGATTCCTTATCAAAATTCTTTCATGTCTTTGATCAAGATCTAAATATTAATATCACCCTAAGTGGTGTTTTTAAGATTAGTAATGAAGTTGAAGAAGACATTTTATTTTGTCTTAAGTGATGAAGTGTATTATAACACTCTTTTTTTTCAGTAATAGGATTTGAACTCAGCGCTTCATGCTTGTTCGCTTGAGCCACACCTTCAGCCTGGTTTTTTGCTGGTTGATTGGAGAAGGGAGTCTTACAGGCTTTTCTGCCTGGGCTGGCTTCAAACCATAATCCTCTGTTCTCAGCCTCCTAAAAAGTTCTACTCAGGAGTTCTTTTTATTATTTTGTTTTGTTTCATCGGTCATGGGGCTTGAACTCTGGGCCTGGACGCTGTCCCTGAGCTCTTTAGCTCAACGTGAACACTATCACTTGAGCTACAGTACCACTTCCAGTTTTCTGGTGGTTAATTGGAGATAGGAGACTTTCCTGCCCAGGCTGGCTTTGAACTGCGATCCTCACATCTCAGCCTCCTTAATAGCTAGGATTACAGGCGTGAGCCACTGTGCCCAGCTTGTTATTGTTTCTTTTTCTTTTCTTTTCTTTTCTTTTTTTTTTTTTTTTGTCGGTCATGGGGCTTGAACTCTGGGCCTGGGCGCTATCCCTCAGCTCTTCAGCTCAAGGCGAGCACCCTACCACTTGAGCTACAGCGCCACTTCCGGTTTTCTGGTGGTTTATTGGAGATAGGAGTCTCACAGTCTCTCCTGCCCAGGCTGGCTTTGAACCACGATCCTCAGATCTCAGCCTCCTGAGTAGCTAGGATTACAGGCCTGAGCCACCAGCGCCCAGCTTGTTATTGTTTCTTCACTGGGGATTGAATTCAGATCCTCACACTTGCTAGGTAGTGCTTTATCACCAGAGCCATATTGCCACTCCTTTTACATTGTTTGTTTTCAAGATGAGGTCTAGGTTTTTTTGTTTTTTTCCCATGTTGGCCTGAAATCATCTTCCTTGTGTTTTTCTTTTTTTTTTTTTTTTGTCGGTCGTGGGGCTTGAACTCTAGGCCTGGGCGCTGTCCTTCAGCTCTTCAGCTCAAGGTGAGCGCTCTACCACTTAAGCTACAGTGCCACTTCCGGTTTTCTGGTGGTTTATTGGAGATAGGAGTCTCACGGTCTCTCCTGCCCGGGCTGGCTTTGAACCGAGATCCTCAGATCTCAGCCTCCTGAGTAGCTAGGATTACAGGCGTGAGCCACCAGCGCCCAGCTTTCCTTGTGTTTTTCTATGTCACTGGAGATGGTATACTTTAGCTATTTGGTTGAGTTGGAGATTCTTGTTCTTGCCAGGGCTGGTCTCTAACTGCAGTCCCCCAATCTCCACTTTCTAAGTAGCTAGGATTACAAGCTTGAGCTATTATATGAGCTACTGTATCCAGCTTTTGGTAATTCTTTAGTGTATAACTGTAATAGCCTAAAGGCTGTAATGTAGATTTCATTGTGCTGTAAGTATTTTATTTCTTGGTATCATTTGGTACTTGCCACAAATAACATGTCATGAGGTACTAACGTAAGTATAAAATGTAACAAGTGCTGGTGGCTTACACCTGTAATCCTAGCTACACTCAGGAAGCTGATAACCAGAGGATGACAATTTGAAGCCAGCTCAGGCAACAAAGTCCATGAGACTCCTCCAAAAACAACAGCAGAAAGCTGGAGGTGTGGCTCAAGTGGTAGAATGTCAGCCAAGCAAGTAAATTTAAGTCCTGGGTTCAAATCCTACAAAAATACTACAAAAAAAAGCATGCTTCAGGAGATTATTTTACACTGCATCTTAGCTAAAGGGGTAAGATGATCATGGAACATATTTTTAAAATGTGATTCACTGGCTGGAACATGGTGGCTCATGCTTGTAATCCTAGCTAGCTGCTCAGAAGGCTGAGATCTGAGAATCAGGGTTCTAAGCCAACCAGGGCAGGAAAGTCCATGAGCCGGAAGTAGAGATGTGGCTAAAGTGGTAGAATGCTAGCCTTGAGCACAAAAGGAGCTTAGAGACAGCATCCAGGCTCTGGGTTCAAACCCCAGGACCAGGGGAGCAGGAAATGTCGTTTACTGTGGTACTGTGCTACAAATGTGGTTTAAATGATATTCAAACCTGTTTAGAACTTTAGTGATACTGTAATTTTGGTATTTAATATTTAAACAAACAACCGTGTATGTCTTAAGTTTATCTCTGTTGAACCCCAGTTAGTTTTTAGGCAAAACCCATAATGGCACTGACATGTAATATTTTAGGTGAGTGGTAGTGTACATTTCTGTTAATAAATGAAAAATGACATAGACATTCTTTCTCAGGTGTAGAATGAGCCAAGGAGACTCGAACCCAGCAGCTATCCCACATGCAGCAGAAGATATTCAAGGTGATGACAGATGGATGTCTCAGGTAAAAGGAGGTGTATATGTATATCACATGGGGGTGAATGTCTTCTGCTTTTTAGGTTCTTTTGACCAAACTGCATACGATCAATTTTGATATTCAACAATAATGTTTTAAATTACAAAAACATTATAAATCACAAAAGTCTTGTGTAATGAGTTATCTGATCATCAGTGTGCCATTGGATCTGAGGGATTATAGTGTAATTTAAACATTTTTATGTTGCAACATACATAGCCCATCAAGTTCATACCTGTACACACTGCAGGGACTATGTATGAGTCTCTCTGTACCTGATAGTCACAAAGAAGAGGAGAGTCTGTCTCAAGTGGGAGAGCACCTGCCTAGTGAGTGCAAAGCCCCAGGTTCTATCCCTGGTAACGACAGAGTCAAGTGATTAAAGTAATTGAACAACCAGATTTCCAACTGGGTTCCAGATGATGATAAGCTAGATTTTTTTCTGTGGTAGATCCATTGAAGAATGTTTTGAAGAGTAGCAATATCTTTGAGGACAGTCAAATATGATGCAGTTTCTCCTTAAATTTAATATTCATCAGTGGATCTTGGTGATAGTGATTGTTACTGTAGTGGTTAAAGATGATTTTTTTTTTTTTTTTTTTGTCGGTCACAGGGCTTGAACTCAGGGCCTGGGCGCTGTTCCTGAGCTCTTTTGCTCAACGATAGCCCTCTACCGCTTTGATACAACACCAGTTGCGGTTTTCTGGTGGTTAATTGGAGATAAAAGAGTCTCACGCACTTGCCTGCCCAGGCTGGCTTTCAATCTTGATCCTCAGATCTCAGCCTCCTGAGTAGGTAGGATTACAGGTGTGAGCCACTGGTGCCTGGCTTAAAGTGATTTTTCTTTTCTTTCTTTCCCTATTTGATTATGACAGAATAGATTTCTAAGTATCTTTGAGTTATTATATTGCTCAAACTTTTCAGCTTCATTTTAGAGGCTCTGTCAATGATGAAAATTAACATTTTCAATAGCGTAACCAATATCACATACCTTTTATGTGATGGAGTGAGGACATAGCCCCTCTCTTTTTGATTTATTACAAGATGTTACAGGCTCATCTTTTACTTTCCTTGCTCTGCTTGTAGAAATCAACTATTTCTCTTAAGAATTCCTGGTTCCTTTCATTGAAGAATAGTATTTATTTAATTATTTAATTTTTGGAGGGTTGTTTAGTTTCTGTAGTGTTCTCTTGGTAGCAAATCCCACAGGGAGTAATAGCCAAGTCTCTTCCATTCTTCCGTCCCTAACCCATCATGGAGAGCCTGACAAAATAGTTGATTCTGAAAAACAAAACCATCAATCATCTTAACACTGGATGAGCTGAACAAATGCCACTCCACATTTCTATCAAGAAATGGAATCACGCCACGGGATCCTAGCGCAGGCCGCACATGAGCTCAGAGGCAAGGGCACCTTCTGAGAAAACATGCCAAGAAAAGCAAATCTTGGCACTGGAAGGCTTCCTCCAAACTTTTGATGTATAAGAAAACAAATACCCTAGCCAGGCGCTGGTGGCTCACGCCTGTAATCCTAGCTACTCGGGAGGCTGAGATCTGAGGATCGTGGTTCAAAGCCAGCCTGGGCAGGAAAGACTGTGAGACTCCTATCTCCAATAAACCATCAGAAAACCAGAAGTGGCACTGTAGCTCAAGTGGTAGAGCACTCGCCTTGAGCTGAAGAGCTGAGGGACAGCGCCCAGGCCCAGAGTTCAAGCCCCACGACCGACAAAAAAAAAAAGAAAAAGAAAAAAAAGAAAACAAATACCCAGTCCAGGCTACAAACAATTGCTTGTCTCTGATGGGTTGTGTGTTGAAGAATTGTATTTAGAAGCTAAGATCTGGCATTTAATATATTAGTAAAGAAAGTATTTTACCAAATGAGTTAACTTTTTTAATTTAAATAGTTTTTCATTTGAGCATTTTTCTCCTTCATGCTTATTACAAGAATAATTATTTAACTTGGAGATATTTATTTATTTATTTTTGTTGGCCATAGAGCTTAAACTCTGGGCCTGGATGCTGTCCCTGAGCTCTTTAGCTCAACGAGACACTCTGCTACTTGAGCCACAGCACCACTTCTGGTTTTCTGGTGGTTAGTTGGAGTTAAGAGTCTCACGAATTTTCCTGCCTGGGCTGGCTTTGAACTGCAATCCTCAGATCTCAGCCTCCTGAGTAGCTAGGTTTACAGGTGTGAGCCACCAGCGCACGGTATTTTTATTTTTTTAAGATATTGTCTCTCTGTATTCCCCAGGTTGTCACTAACGTAGCCTCACAAATGCTGGACGGTAAAACATCATCCTAGCAAAAGCTAGGCTGAATTCAAACCCTAGTATCACCCAAAAAAAAGGAGAAAAAAAAAAACACACTATAAAGCTAGTGCCAAATGACTGATACATGTGTGTATATGTGTGTGTGTATTTATGTGTATGTATATAATTTAAAGTACATTTATATAAAATTATTCTCAGTTTACGTCAAAATAATGGTGGAAGTGGGGTAGGATAGTGCCTGGGTGTGTAAATAAGATAATACTTGCCATACATTTAAATATTGCCATAGCTGGTGATGAATACATTTTTTATTGTGTTACTTTTCTGCTTTTTGTTGTGCCATTACTAGGACTTGAATTCAGGCCCTCAGTGCTGTTCCTTAGCTTGTTCATTCAAGGCTAGCCCTCTACCACTTGAGCAACACCCCCACTTCTGGCATTTTTAGTGGCCCACTGGAGATAAGAGCCTCTTTGACTTTCCTGCCTGGACTAGCTTTGAACCTCAGTCCTTAGAACTCAGTCTCCTGAATAGCTTGAATTACAGGAGTGAGCCAATGATGCCTCTCTTGTCTGCATTTTCCATAGATAAGCATTGTTTGTTTGTTTCTAGGGTAACATTGAAAGTCTTGACTAGAGATAAATTTAATAGGAATACTATGAAAACATCAGCTAGAAAATTAAGGCCCAGCAATAGACAGAACGAAATATTTGTAGTAAATATATTATCAATAAAATGTCTTCAAGCTCTGCTGATGGCTCATGCCTGTAATCCTAGCTACTTGGGAGGCTGAAATCTGAGGATCTTGGTTTGAAGCCAGACCAATCAGGAAAGTTCAAGACTCTTTTAACTCCAGTTAATCACTGAAAAGCTGGAAATGGAGCTGTGGCTTAAGTGGTAGACTCCTGTTCTTGTTCAAAAAAAGCTCAGGAACAGCTCTCAAGACCTGAATTCAAACCCCAGGACTGGCACAAAAAATAAAATGTCTTCAAGATAATTATTTAACTCTTGAAGCAACTAGAAGAATTGAATATGAACATTAGATATTGATGGGATAGTTCTTTTTTGTAATAAAATAATTCATAGAATACTGTTTTTTCTCTTAAATAGATACATGCTGAACGGGTTAAAAATGTCATGCTTGCAATTTACATAGTTAGGTGCATGCATACACACACATATAAACACAGAGATAAAACCTAGGAGATTGTTTTTCTTTTTAAGCTTATGGGAAAAACACACTTTTTATAAATCATATGAAATCTATTTTTCTTTTCTAGTTTCACTACAATTTTAGTTTTCTTGAACATAGTGGAATGTTCAATATGTTAAAAATAGGAAGAAATCTTTTTTTTTTTTGTCGGTCATGGGACTTGAACTCTGGGCCTGGGCGCTGTCCCTCAACTCTCCAGCTCAAGGCTAGCATTCTACCACTTGAGCCACAGTACCACTTCCGGTTTTCTGAGCGGTTTATTGGAGATAAGAGTCGGTCTTTCCTGCCTGGGCTGGCTTTGAACTGTGATCCTTAGATCTCAGCCTCCTGAGTAGCTAGGATTAAGGCATGAGCCATTGGCACCCTGCTAGAAATCTTTCTTTCTTTTTTATTTTTTTGCCAGTCCTGGGGCTTGAACTCAAGACCTGGACACTGTCCCTGAGCTTCTTTTGCTCAAGGCTAGCAGCCTACCCCTTTAGTCACAGTACCACTTTTGGCTTTTTCTGTTTATGTGGTACTGAGATTGAACCTAGTGCTTCATGCCTGCTAGGCAAGCACTGTACCACTAAGCCACATTCCCAGCCTGGAAGAAATCTCTGTAACTGTAGAAAAAAAATTTTCCGACTAGACTGAAAAAGTTTTTTATTTCTTTTTTTTTGGGGGGGTGGTCTGAACTCTGGGCCTGGGCACTGTCCCTCAGCTCTTCAGCTCAAGGCTAGCACTCTACCACTTGAGCCACAGTGCCACTTCCAGCTTTTTTCTTTTTGCTTATGTGGTGCTGAGGAATCGAACCCAGTGCCTCATGCATGCAAGGCAAGCAAGCACTCTACCACTGAGCCACCTTCCCAGCCCTGAAAAAGTTTTTTATCGTAGTTGTTTTGTTTAGTGTTGGGGATCAAGCCTTGCAGATGCTAAGCACACATGCTTACCACTGAGCTACACCCACCCCCATCCCTCCTCCCCCACCCGAATAATGTTTAACAGGAACTGGGGGAACTTTTTTTTTTGCTGGTCCTGGGGCTTGAACACACCGGGCCTGGGTGCTGTCCCTGAGCCTCTTTGTGCTCAAGGCTAGTGCTCTACTACTTGAGCCACAGTGCTACTTCTGGCTTTTTCAGTTTGTTTGAGTTAAGAGTCTCACATGGATTTTTCTGCCCAGGCTGGCTTCAAACCATGATCCTCAGATCTCAGCCTCCTGAGTAACTAGGATTATAGATAGGTATGAGCCACCGGTGCCAGGCAGTAATTTTCCTTTCTAAGCCAAGAAATCTCATAGGAAAGAAGTACTATTACTTACCCCCTTTCCCCAAAACTGGTGCTTGTACTCTTGGCCTGGAGCTCTCATTTGGGATTTTCACTCAGTCCTGGCACTCATCACTTCAGCCACAGCTCCACCTCTGTCCTTTTTGCTGGTTATTTGGAGTTGACTATCTCATGGACTTTGCTGTGCAGGCTGATTTCTAACCTCAATCCTCAGATCTGTCTTCTGAGTAACTAGGTTTACAGGTGTGAGCCACCAGTCTCATCTATTAATACCACTCTCTATCTTTATTTACCACCAGCACAATAGATTCGTCCTGGACTGTAAAGACAAAGAGCCTGATGTACTGTTTGTGGGAGACTCCATGATACAATTAATGCAGCAGTATGAGGTAAAGAGGATGGAGGGTCAGGGTGATTTTTTTGGTTTAAAGTATATGTGTAGTCATTACTAACAGTTTCATTCTGAGCTGTGGAGTCCTTCATGACTCATAGACTATTTCAAAGTAGAAGGGAGACAAGACCTACCTAGTGAAGTTCTTTGTGCCACTAAGCATGGGGAAACAAAAAAACAGTGTTGTTCATAACTAGATTCCCTTTGTCATCTGGTTTCAAAGACATTTGATGTTGACTGTTTATGTATGTCCTGGTGGTGATTTTTGATTCTTTTTTTTTTTTTAATTTCCAGTTGTGTGGCCTGATCTCTGGGCCTGGGCGCTGTCCCTCAGCTCTTCAGCTCAAGGCTAGCGCTCCACCACTTGAGCCACAGCACCACTTCCGGCTTTTTTCTTTTTTGCTTATGTGGTGCTGAGGAATCGAACCCAGGGCCTCAGGCATGCAAGGCAAGCACTCTACCACTGAGCCAACTTCCCAGCCCTGATTTTTGATTCTTAATTTCTGTTTGCTTATTTATGTTTGTCTGAGTAATAATTCTCATTTTTTATTTGTATTTTTCTACTTTTATAATGAGCTGTTGAAATTCTTTTTAGGCGAGGTAGTCTTCCAAGGGAAATTTGACAGAAAAAGATAGCTTTATTTGACAGTCCAGTTTTCAAAAATTTTTAAAATCTCATTTCTGCCTCTCCCTGTTGTTTTTAAATAGTTGAATCAACAGAAAGAGTTGATACAGTTGACAACTTTTTACAATGCTGCTTATCACTTAAGAGGCACCAGATTGAGTTGTGTTTCGGTTTGTGAGGAATTGAGTTACAGTGGTGAATGCATATCACCTTGAGTGTTATATTTGAATGGAGACATGGGAATGTTTTAGCTGCCTGTCAGTACATTTATTAAAGGACTTTATTTTCCATTGGTTTTTATCTTAAATCAACTTTTTCTCTTTAGATATGGCGAGAACTTTTTTCCCCACTTCATGCACTTAATTTTGGAATTGGAGGGGATACAACAAGACATGTTCTGTGGAGACTAAAGAATGGAGAACTGGAGAACATTAAACCTAAGGTGAGGGGCTAAGGCCTTGGGTTTCAATTCTAGTACTACCAAAAATAATCTTAAGGTGAAATGAAACTTACTTTTTAAAGAATAGCTATAATCTTGAGTGTTTTTGAAATTAAATGTTTGGAAGTAGTAAGAAAAAAAGATGACTACTTTAAAGCACTACAACACTCCCTGATGCCTCTTAAAGGTCTGTGATACCATCATATCTTTTCTTTTCTTTTCTTTTTTTTTGTCAGTCATGGGCTTGAACTCTGGGCCTGAACACTGTCCCTCAGCTCTTCAGTTCAAGGCTCTGTCAATTGAGCCATTATGCCACTTCTTGCCCAGGCTGGCTTTGAACCGCCATCCTCAGATCCCAGCCTCCTAAGTAACTAAGATTACAGGCATGAACCTTGGTGCCCAGCTCCATTTTATCTTAAGAATGTTCAGAAATGTATTTTGAGCTTGTTAGATTTTCAAAGATGAACTTCCAGCTCTATGATGATGGAATTTTTTTCTTCCTAGTGTATTTATGACATTTAAATATTAATATGTTTGTAATTCTGATACGATAGGCATAAATTGTTTTAGAGTAGGTACCCAGTTAATTCAATACCATTAAAGAAATTCACCTTTTGTTGTTTGATTTTTGAAGTAAGATTTTTCCCTTTTAATTCTTACCTCCACTATAGGTCATTGTTGTTTGGGTAGGAACAAACAACCATGAAAATACTGCAGAAGAAGTAGCAGGTGGAATTGAGGCCATTGTACAGCTCATCAACACCAGGCAGCCACAGGCCAAAATCATTGTATTGGTAAGTAGTCTTTGATGTGTGAAGCCTTATAAACTCCTCAGGTGATGGAGTTTGTGATACTTCTGTTCATGTTTCTTTGTGCCACTACTAGGGCTTGAACTTGGGGCCTTCTGCTCTCACTTGTCTTTTTCACTCAAAGCTCAGGCTGGACCACTTAAGCCATACTTCTAGCTTGCTTTTTTTTTTTTTTTTGGTCGGTTGTGGGCTTGAACTCTGGCCTGGGCATTGTCCCTGAGTTCTTCAGCTCAAGGCTAGCACTTTACCACTTGAACCACAGTGCCACTACCAGTTTTCTGGTAGTTTATTGGAGATAAGAGTCTCATGGATTTTCCTCCCTGGGCTGGCTTTGAACCGTGATCCTCAACTCTCAGCCTCCTGAGTAGCTAGGATTACAGGTGTGAGCCATCAGCACCTGGCTTCTTCTAGCTTTTTACTGGTTAATTGGAGATAAAACATCTCATGGGCTTTTCAGCCAGGTGTGTGACTTTTAACCATGATCCTCAGATCTTAGCCTCCTGATTATCTAGGATTACAACCCTGAGCTGCCAGCACCTGGCAGACTTTTTTTTTTTTTTTTTGGTCGGTTGTGGGGCCTGAACTCTGGGCCTGGATGCTGTCCTTCAGCTCTTCAGCTTAAGGCCAATGCTCTACTACTTGAGCCATAGCGCCACTTCCAGCTTTTTCTGCTGAGGAATCGAACCCAGGGCCTCATGCATGCAAGGCAAGCACTCTACCACTGAGCCACCTTCCTAGCCCCACTGGCAGACCTTTTAATTTGGTATTTGCAAGCCTTAGATTTGATCTCTACCACACATAAAAAAAGTTTGCTTTATTGTTCTGGGGAATCAAGCACTAGTCTTAAGCTACAGTTTGTTTTTTTTTATTTGTGGTACCTTTCAAATGTTAGCACAGTTAGCATCAGCTTATCAATAATCTAGTAATAAAACTAGTCCTAGTAGTTGTGTTCACATCTTGATTGTTCAGGTGATCAGGAGCTTTTGTTTGACTGCTTTAACTTTTTAGTTATTGGTTATATCTCCAAATATGGAATAAATGAGAGGGGATCCTTTTGCTCCCACAAGAAATTAACACCTAACAGATTCCAGTTTTTTTGGTATAATTAGAAGTAAGTATCTTGACCAAATAAGCCTGTAGCCATCAAAACATTGGATTGGCTATGCTGAGTTTCTCTGTGCTTCTGGCCATTTCTGCCAACCCAATTTCATAAATGAAGCCAAGAAAAGTTACTCTAGGGCCTAGTAGGTGGTATACAATTGTCCCCATTTTTCTTGGGGGTGTGGGGGGATCCGGTCGTGGGGCCTGAACTCTGGGCCTGGGCACTATCCCTCAGCTCTTCAGCTCAAGGCTAGCGCTCTACCACCTGAGCCACAGCACCACTTCCGGCTTTTTTTTTTCTTTTTGCTTATGTGGTGCTGAGGAATGGAACCTAGGGCCTCAGGCATGCAAGGCAAGCGCTCTACCACTGAGCCACCTTCCCAGCCCCACAATTGTCCCAATTTTTTGAGCAGCATCAGCTCCACTTCATTAGGGACCTGGTAGTGAGGGCAGGCCTCAAATGTCAATTACTGACAGTTTAACTCTTCACAGATTGTGGGCAGCGAGGTAGGGGCATTGTCATGTCCTTGTCCCTGTCTTGCAACAAAAAGCAACATTCTACCATTTGAAGTTTTTGAGATGCTTAATAAGGATAGAAGGAGATGTGTCAGGATAACAAGAGTCATAATTCTGAACAGCTCTTTTTGAGCCCTAAAATCATATAATTGTCAATCGAAGTCCTAATGTTTTGCTGGAAAATTTAGAGTAGACATAAACAAGAATATACTTTGTATATAAATTTATTGTTTTATTTTATTTATTTATTGTTTTGTCGGTTGTGGGCCTGAACTCTGGGCCTGGGCACTGTCCCTCAGCTCATCAGCTGAAGGTTAGCCCTCTACCACTTGAGCCACAGCACTACTTCTGGCTTTTTCTGCTTATGTGGTATTGAAGAATTGAACCCAGGGTCTCGTGCATGCAAGGCAAGCACTCTCCACTGAGCTACTTTCCCAGCCCTGTTTTATTTTTCAGAAAATATATTTTTTTAATCTGTTCTCAGGCTTAAACTCTGGGTACTGTCCTTGAGATTTTGTGCTCAAGGCTAGTGCTCTACCACTTTGAGCCACAGCTCTGCTTCCAGATTTTTGGTGGTTAATTGGAGATACGAGTCTGGTGGGCTTTCCAGCCTAGACTGGCTTCTGAACTTCAGTCATCAGATCTCAGCCTCCTGAGTGGGTAGGATTACAGGTGTGAGTTACCAGGACCTACCTCCCTAGAAATTCTATTTTTTTGTGGAGTAAGACTACTTACCTTTCTCCTGAAGCTGATAATGGGATTTCGCCTTAATAATAGTAACTTTTTTTTTTTGGGTCCAGTTGTGGGGCCTGAACTCTGGGCATGGGCACTGTCCCTCAGCTTTTCAGCTCAAGGCGACCAGTCTACCACTTGAGCCACAGCGCCACTTCCGGCTTTTTTTTTTTTTGCTTATGTGGTGCTGGGGAATCGAACCCAGGGCCTCATGCATGCAAGGCAAAGCGCTCTACCACTGAGCCACCTTCCCAGCCCCTAATAATAGTAACTTGTGTATGTGATGTGATCATCGTTAGGTATTTACCAGTTAAAAGGTTGGGGCATCTTTCAATACTTATATATATATAATGGGATCAATTATATGTAAGGACTATTTCTGGTTTTGGATGATAAAACCTTATTCTTGTCATACAATAATGGCTTTTCTCTTCACTATAACAGAATCACAGATATCTGGTATGTATAAAAATTAGATCATTAACATACCAGTTAAGAATGGCCTCAGGAGTGTTGGTAGACTCCAGTGGCAGAGCATCTGCCTAGCAAGTACAAAGCTCTGAGTTTAAACCTCAGAACCACCTAAAAGAAAAAGAATGAACTCAGCAAATGGTGCTGTGACTCAAATGGTAGAGTACTGGCCTTGAGCACAAAGAGGCTCAGGGATAGTGCCCAAGCCCTGAGTTCAAGCCCCAGGGCCAGCAAAGAAAAAGTTAAACCAGGTGCTCTGGGCCTATAATCCTAGCTACACAGGAGGCTGAGGTCTGAGCCAGCCCAGGCAGGAAAGTCCATATGAATCTAAATCTCCAATTAATAACCAAAGTCTGTATCTCCAATTCACAACCAAAAAACCAAAGTGGAGCTGTGGCTCAAGTGAGAGCACTAGAACTAGTAGTAGAGCAAAAGAACTCAGAGATAGCACCCAGGTCCCAAATTCAAGCCCATGACCAACAAAAAAGAAGAATGAACTCAGGACACCTTTTTGTGTTTGCGTGTGCAGGTTCTGGTCTCTCTTGCCACTTGCTTGGTTTCTTGGTCAGATAGCACTCTACTACTTATACCATGCCTCTAATTCAGGCTTTTTGCTGGCTAGTTAGAAATAGAGAGTCTCTTAGCTTTGCTCAGGCTGGCTCTGAAGTGAGCAGAAAAGTCCACCAGACTCCGTCTCCAACTAACAAGCAAAAAGCAAGACTGGAGGAATGAATTTCTCAAGTGGTAGAACACTAGCCAAGCAAAAGAATGAAGCAAATGTGAAGTCCTGAGTTTAAACTCCATTACTACAAAACAAAAACTAAACTAAACTAGTTCATTGTTTAGAAAAAGTGTCAAATAGATCAAATACTCCATGAGTGAATGAATGAAACAATGAAACCTTCTCACTTAATGTCTTCTCTGCTGTGTCCCAGGGTTTATTACCTCGAGGTGAGAAGCCCAACCCTTTGAGGCAAAAGAATGCCAAGGTGAACCAACTTCTCAAGGTTTCACTGCCGAAGCTTGCTAATGTGCAGCTCCTGGATACAGATGGGGGCTTCGTTCACTCGGACGGTGCCATTTCCTGTCACGACATGTTTGATTTTCTGCATCTCACAGGAGGGGGCTATGCAAAGATCTGCAAGCCCCTCCATGAACTGATCATGCAGTTGCTGGAGGAAACACCTGAGGAGAAACAAACTACCATTGCCTGACCAGCTCCCATCAGTGTTCACAACCTCCCAGCTTCCTCAGATCAGTTATGTCACTGGCACTACAGAATCCTCTTTCTTAAGGCACTTTGCATTGTAGAATGTTCCCGGATGCCCACATCTAGTGTTTGAAGGGAAAGAGGGTTTTAAATTGGTCCTGTATATAGAAGGTTTGTTTGACACAAGAAAATTAGCCAAGGAAGATTGTTTAAATTTTCATTTCAAATCACAAGGGGACTTTTTAGTTGTATATGTGACACATTCATTGAATTATTACTGTTCTGTTCTTCCTAGGACATCATCAAGCCTAAGTACTACACAATATGAAGGTTCTTTTCTTGGCCTTTTTTCTGTAGATTATGTCATATGTAATAATCAGAATCACAACTACTTGGCTTTAAAGTACATGTCTTTTCCAGTTTTTAAGGTCTGTAATTTAGCCTTTTGTTTTTATTTTGTTTTGCTCATATGTATCCTCAGTATTTTGTTAACGTATAGCATCAGATTAAACATGCTCGTCCCTCAAATATGCGAGAAGCTATAGTTACCAGTGAGTTTGCTCCTCTAAATCTTTCCCATGCTTAACAATGAGAAACATGTTCTGTCCCCTTTGGGGAACTCTTTGGAAGGTATTATGTATATGCTGCTGAATATCATGTCTATAATAGACCCATGCATGCAGCCTTTTTACTCCTTTTCCCCTCACTTTTCTTTCCTTGTGGAGGGGTCCTTATTAACATTACAAGCTTTTATCACATTAGGAGCTTTGTTGCTGGAAGTGTAAGTCCCCAGCCAGCTACCCATAATGATATTACTGATATATCTCATTCTTGTGTGTGTTTTGTGCTGTAGAGTCCGTGTGGTGGTATCCATATTCAAGAGTTCTGGTTTGCTTTCCAGTACAATCTGTTACAGTCTCCTTTACTCAGAAAAAAAAAAATCAGAACTCTTGTTTCTCATTCCGTAATAGACCTAACATTGTATTTTATAGTATCAAGGTGTATTTTTTTTTTAGTTTTATTTTTTCCTTCTTCAATGCTGAGGATCAAACCCAGGGTCTAGGACATACAAGGCAGATACTGTATGGTTGAGTTATACTCACAGCCCTGTTTTTTCTTAATTGGTTTAGCTCTTACATTAGTATTAAAAAAAGAGTTGGCTTCTTCCATGTGGAAACAGTGAAGCTGTTCTCAGAATAGAGATTGTACCTATATTCCACCATCTTAGTAAAAAGGAATGAGGTTTACTAAGAAAACTGCTTTTTAACAACTTTTGTCTTTTTGTTTTTTGGTACTGGGAATTGAACCCAGGACGTTGCACTTGCTTAGGCAAGTGCTTTGCCAATGAGTTATGTCCCAGCCCTATTTCCTGTTTCTTGATACATCTTCATCTAGGAATTTTCTTTCAAGAGAGCTTGTTAGAATTTTTACTAGTTTGCTTGAGCTACACAAACTTGTATTTAAAGAATAATAGAACACTAGGTGTGTTCTTGTCTAATATACCTATAGAATATTTACAAACTGGATCTGCAGACATTTAAACTGGACCAGGTTGAGTACTGAAGTAACCCATCCCAGTGACTGCCTAATGTTGCATTCCGTAACTAACATCTACGCTCTGTGTTCTGCTTGCTAAGCAAATGGCAAGGCTGTGTGTACTGAGGAGTTGCTGACTTGTGTTAAGACCCACTTGTGACTGAGAAAGATAGAACTTGTGATGGGTTATTGTTGAGGCTTTTTCTAGAATTTTTTTATTTTTTTTTAAAAAAACAATGTTCTGAATGTATCATGTCTTCATTAGTAACAAAAAATACACATGGTGTTTACTAAACTTGTTTACTATATTCAGTTTTTCTTTCTATTTGTAGTAGCCAAGATTCTTGAGTTTTCAAGACAGATTGTTTTTTAATGAACTAACATTCATTACAGGAAGGAAATTTAAGCCAGAATTTTGTGTGTAAAAAGACACTTTTCTATCCAGGTCTTTCTGTGTTAGAGTATGGGAAGATGGTTCAAATAAATCTATTAGACTACTCTTGCAGCATGTGCTTTTAGCTTCTCTCTTGACTGAGGATCAAATAATCCCTTTGTGATCTGGCCTTCAGCTCCTCTGCTTCTATATGTAAACCTCTGATATTACTACATTTTATATCCACCAGAGCTATTCAAGCAATAGTATTTGAACCACTAGCCTTTTAAATAAAATTCTGCCCCATTGCTAATGTATAGATACTGAGTCCACTGTCATTTCTTGCCAGGTTTCTTTGCACTGCTTTAGGCAAAAAAGTGTTAGTCTTTTATTCTTTGACATCTCAGTCTTGCTTCAGTAACAAAACTTCCTGCTTAGGTCTTTGTACTTTTTAAAAAATATGTGAGTTTAATGCACTGTCCATATAAAATGTCCTTGTCATAGTAATTAAGGGGCCAACTTACCAGGCAGTTAGCACAGGTATTGTTTCCTTTGCCAGCAAAATTTAATCCCTTTGCCCACCCATTCCTGTTACACAACAGCAAGTAATGGGACTATACAGATGATATCTGTGGTTCTGTCTTCAAAGTGCAGGTTGGAGATGTACTGCCAAGGATGATCCAGGGCGGGTTGTTTTGCTGCGAGTGCATTGTAGCTTATTCTAGGCAAGTGATCTGGCTACCTCCTTTTGTCCACTGAGACTGTTTAGGACATCTGCCCAAACCTGAATCTTCTGTCAAAAACAACAAATCTTGAGTAGCTCTGTCCCTGTTCCTCAAAATTGTAACTTAAGTCCCAGCCTTCTGTTTTTATTTTTTTTCTAACTTAGTCACTGTTTACAGTTGTATGCTGAAGCCTGTAATACTGTCTGTACTGTGTTGTATGAACATTGCCAATTTTATATTTATTGCAGTGAAGAAGAAACTAAAAATATATGAAAAGGAGGAGCATGGCTCCTGAATCTGTGTGGGTGCATGTGGGAGCAGTAAGTGGGGGCCTCTTGAAAGGCCTTTTTGGAGAGGGGCCCCAGACTTGTTGCTGCGTTCCCCTCTGGGATCACTGCTGCTGGCTGACTGAACTCCCCAAGTAGAGCTTGTGACTCTGCTTTGGCAAAGTTTCCTTGACTAGTAGAATTCCTTGTTTAGTGCATATTTCAATATAAATGTCAACATTTCACTGAAACTTGCTGATGTCTTTCTGTTTCTCTTATCATAGTTTGGATTCCAGTGGGAAAAAGAAGGGATGGTTTTTCCTACCATATCATGAGCAGAATGGATATATTTCAGTCATCTTGCTTCCTTACTGTGGAACTGAATGTACCAAACTAACTCATCACTTATCTTCTGGGGGGACAGGGAGTGGTAGGATGGGGTGAGTAAATAGGAAGCCTGAATAGATGAAGGGAAAAATGATGCCGTGGAAGGTTTGTGATTGGACAAGAGTGTTTGTCAAAAATAACTTTTAAACCATAAACTCTTTGTGCCCTAATTTTAGTTCTTAAAATTTATTCATGGAAAATATCCCAAGTGCCACTGTTTCATTTCAAATACTTTGGAACATCTCTCCATTATCACCCTCAGCTGGAACTTAAGTGCTTCAAATGATTTGAATTGTTCTGAAAAAGTTTCAGGAGTGGGACACCATGACTCATGCCTACAATCTTAGCTACTAATCAGGAGGCTGAGATCTGAGAATCACTGTTTGCTGTATAGACTCCCACCTCCACCCCTCTCCCGCCCCCACCCCAGTTGTAGGCCTTGAACTCAGGGCCTGGGTGCTCAAGTCTTGGGCTCTGCCACTTTGAGCCACAGTGCCATTTCCATGAGGATCATTGTTTGAAGCCCAACCAGGGCAGGAAGGTCTAAGATACTTATCTCCAATTAAAACTAAAAAGCCAGGTGCCTGTAATCCTAGCTACTCAGGAGGCTGAGATCTGAGGATTGCAGTTCAAAGCCAGCCCTGGCAGGAGTGTCCATGAGACTGATCTCCAATTAACCACCCAAAAACCAGAGGTGATGCTGTGGCTCAAGTGGTAGTGTTCGCCTTGAGTAGAAAAAGCTCAGGGACATACCTAGGCCCTGATTTCAAGCCCCAGGACTGCGCCCCTCCCCTCCCCCCCAAAAAAAGTTTCAGGATGATATTTTCCATCCATTAATCTAGGTGCTTTTTTATGTAGCTGTATCCCTATATTACTATTGGCTAAGAGGCTCAAAGACTGAGTATGATGCCCAAGGTTGATTATACATTAAGTGATCGTTGTAGGATTTGGATCCAGCTTTACTTCAGAGTTCTTACCCTCCACTGTTCATTCAACCTGAGGTATCTTTTGGACCCTAGGTTTTGATTTACTGAGTTTATGAAGGATCAACCTGTGCTTGCTTTTCAGTTGTCTTCCAGACTAAGCAATAGCTTCCTTCAGTCTTTCCTACACCCAGTAGTGTTTTCTCAGTTCTCTCCTGTGTGGCCACAGACCTGTTAAAAGTGTTTTACACCTTAACCCACCAGAATTAAAACCTGTTAATGGAGTAAGGATTTTGGTGGCATGCCTGAAGGAGTTCACAGATTGTCTAGCTGCTATATTAAAATGAATAAGATTGTGATTCACAGGATAACACTACTTGGACAAATGAACTTAAAATATAAAGAAAATGGGGAGGCTTAAGTATAATCAAAATGTATGACAAAAAGGTTAAAGTAGATAGGTGTTGCTAGCTTCCAGTGCCACAGCAGAGGGGCCACAACCACAGGTGAAAATGTCAAATGAGGATTTGCATCCAACTTTCAGGCGGCACAGCTGCTTCCCTTGAAGGCTGTTTTTACACTTCGCACTGGAATGGTTTTGCCACCGATTTAGTCTAGATGCATACTGGGACGGCCTTATCTGAACTGGCACTGAAGACTATAGGATGTGTACCTTGAACACAGACACATTTATCACTCTCACCTCCCAAGATAAAACGGCCTGCCCCAAGTTCTCTCTTCTGTGGACCTGAGGCTAGAGCAAGGGTCAGTTACTCATCAGTATCTGTCCCGAGGACATACCACACCAACACTGACGGCTAAAGCATATGCCAATACACTCCTCAAAAGCTTCTACAGAATGATAGAATATGGAAATAGTTGAGATTTTCTTTCCCAGTTCTTTCTCCCTGGCCCTCTGTTCCCACCATCTAGTTCCTTTCCTGAGACCTTGCTGGGTTGTACGTAATTATCCCATTTGAACCTTTCAGTGGCCTGAGACAAGAGGAAGATGGTGTGTTTCAAGACAAAGCTCCTTCACCAGCATCTGCACCTGGAGAAAACCTAGATAAAACCAATAGGACAATCTGTCCCCTGTGTTCCTCCAGCCATGGCAGAGGTGAACTCTTAAGCTGGCTGTTTTCAAATAGCCCATGACACAAAGGTCTTAAACACTTTGAGAAGTTAGTCTTTCTTTGACTCTTGCTTTACTTTAGACTGTGTTTCATGCCTTTTGCTTATTTACTGGCACATTTTAATTTAATACATTTACATACAAGCTTTATAAACACAGATCAAGCTTTGCCAGCACACTGGGAAAGAATTTGTAACATCAGTGTGCTCCAGCACATTTGGTTGATAACCACTAACTTAAAAGGTCAAGTCCAAGCTACCGAATGTCATACCCAACAGACATCATGACTTGGCCCTCTTCATTCCTACCCTCCCCCCATTACTTTGAACCAATGACATTGAATTCAACTCTATACTTTTGCCCTTAGGTGGTACTGACTAAAATATTCCTAACTTTGCTGATCTGGCTTCTTCTCATCTTTTACCCCACAGGGACACCTGGTATTTTCTGACTTCCCTATTTTAGCTGGGTCAACATTGGGTCTCACTTCTGAGTTCCCATGAGACACTGAGTAAAGCGTTTTATTGTTATACTTAAACTCCATTGTATGCTAACCTGAATGAATAGGAAGCTCTTTCTAGTCATCTGGCTAGTATGTGTCAAAATCAAAACTGGAACACACATCTTTTGACTTTAGTGTCTTTAAATGACACCATGATGAAGTTTTGAGAAAGTTTATTCTTGCTAGTATAAATACAGGCAAAATAGAAACAATTCACTTAACAAATGTAGGACTGGGTACACCTGAGCCCAACTTTTGGACCCCTAGCTGGCACACGGTTATTTTGGCCCCAGCCCTAAAGAATATGGCTTCTGGGGCTGGGAAGGTGGCTCAGTGGTAGAGTGTTTGCCTTGCATGCATGAGACCCTAGATTTGATTCCTCAGCACCATATAAGTTGAAAAAGCCGGAAATGGCATTGTGGCTCAAGTGGTAGAGCACTAGCCTTGAGCTGAAGAGCTGAGGGACCGCCCACATCCAGAGTTGAGGCCCCACAACCGACAAAAAGAAAAAAAAGAACAAGGCTTCTTTTTCTTGAATAACTGACAATGAGGAACTAATAAAACTAATGAGCTGTTTGTTTTTTTTTCCAGTTCTGGGGCTTGAACTCAGGTCCTGGGCACTGTCCCTGAGCTTCTCTGTGAGCAAGGCTAGCACTCTACCACTTGAGCCACAACACCATTCCAAGTTTTGCATTTTGCAATTGACTATTCACATTTTTTTTTTAAAGGGCTGGGGATATAGCTCAGTAGTAGAGCACTGTGTAGTATGTTCAAGGACCTAGATTTGATCTCCAGCATTACAAGGAAGAGAAAAAGCAAAAAGATGCAACACATATCCAATACAAAAGTAGTGGGTTTCTGAGACATCTTTTAGAATTATTAAAACTAGATGGAATTAAAAGATAATTTTTATAGAAAAAGTGAATAAGAAAACGATCTTGTGGAGGATCACTGGAATATTGTGAGAAGGCATGAGTTGTAAGCCAAGAGTATAGAGAGAAGAGTTCTTTCAGTTAATGAGAACTATTTCTGATAAGGACTGGGGAGCTGTATGTAATCTCTATAGAGCCAGAGATGGGCAAAAGCCAATTGGTTGCATCTGGATTTCTTAGCCAGAGGGCTCAGCTTTCTTGAATACGAGAACCACTGGGCTGGCTGGCTCTTTTTCAGTGATCAGTAGAGGCACAGATTTGATCTGATAAATTATTTATCTGCTTGTGTCCTGCAACCTGATGCCCAGACTCCTTTCCTGGAAAGCTCTCAGGGTTCCATCACACCCATCACACGGCTGCAGGAAACCAGAAGCAGAGCCTGAATGTATTGCAGCTGTCTCCTAGAATGAATGGTGAAAGCTCAGTTTTAGGAAATGGAAAGTGACTGATCTGTCTCTGGCAGAAAGTCCTGCCCACGTGGTCAAAGTTGTTCTTCCTTGTCTCCGAGGTTTGTTTGTTTTAACTTGGCCTTGCACTTGCTGGCCAGGCAGTCTAAACATTCAAGTCACCCCCAGCCCTTCTTTTTGCCTTTGTTATTTTTTTTCTCAATATGATTTGAATTTGTGCCTGGGCCAGCCTGGATCACAATCCTCCTATTTACAGTATTGTTGCTGGATGACAGGCTTGAGGCACTATACCCACTTTTGTATTGATTGAGTTGACCTGGTTGGCCTTGAACCTTGAGCTCCAAATCATAAATTTCCTGACATCAGCCTCTAGAGTGGGTTTACAGGCAGGCATGACCCACTATCCTTGGCTCTTCTTCCTATTATTTAGAATATTGAAGAAGCCAAACCCAACAAGATTGTGCAGTGTTAGAACAATGTAAATTAGACTTGGCTCCTGTAGACTCAAGAGTTTTAGGTCATTTTTCTGAGGCACCCAATGCAAGGGTAGAACTTGTTCACATCAAAGTGCTTGCCTTTTATTTATTTTTTTCTGGCTGTACTGAGATTAGATCTCAGTCTCATTAATGCTCACTAGAGATACTCAGCCTAGGGCATCCTTGTTGTTTGTTTTTGTTACTGGTGTACTAGAATTCAATTTCAGGGCCTCAGGCTTAAGTCACACCCCTGCAGTTTCTCCTTGAACTTGGGACTATCCTGCCTCAGCCTTCTGAGTGCTGAGAACTGCCAATGCCTTGTCCTTGCTTGTTTTAGTGGTGCCAGGAATCAGTTGTTGTTTTATTTTGCTGGTCCTGGGGCTTGAATTCAGAGCTTCTTTGTGCTCAAGGTCAGTGCTCTACCACTTGGAGCTACAGTGCCACTTCTGGCTTTTACTGAGTAATTTATTGGAGATAAGTCTCATGGATTTTCCTTCCTGTGCTGGCTTCGAACCACAATCCTCACATTACAGCCTCTCAGCCTCTTGAGAAGCTAAGATTACAGAAGTGAGCCACTGGTGCTGGCCTCATTGCAGTTTTTATAGTATCCTCCTCTTGGTGCAGTCTTTGGTTCATTCTAATGCCCCTGAGCCAGCAGGGGTTCCCTCTCACCCCAAATTTCACAAAGCCCCAGTGCCTTACATTGGAACTGGGCTTGGCCAAAGCTGCTTGGTAAATAGCTGTTTGGTCCATTCAGCACTTGAGTTTGGGAATGATGGTCTCTGAGGCATTAGGAGTCATCTGAGACTTATGACCCCACTCTTCAGGACCAAGGTTGGGTTGAACTTTTTGTGTACAATTACAGAGAAAGCAGTAACTAGACCTTCGCTAAAAGCCAAAGGCACTGCCTGAGCCCTCCACTTTTGGGTGGAGGTCTCCATTTCTCAAGTCCAGCGTTGAGACCCAGCATTCTTTCCTTTTATGCTGACTGCTAGAGCCAACAAAAGGGCTTTCTCTCCCCTCTGCCAGTTCTTAGAAAGGGCCTATTCATAACAGGTCATGCTGTTCCCTTCTTAGGGGGTGGAGCAGGAATTGAGGAAAGTTCTGCAGACCTGAAACCTCAAGAAAATCTGGGACTGCTGCCCTCACCCAAGATCTGTACACCCAGAGTGTTGCAGATTCACAAGTTAAGCCCTGGCGACCTTGCAAATGGGAAGGATCCTTTCTGGATTCTTTTTATCAATATATTGCCAGATGAAAGGCAGCACAGGGGAATGGGGGTAGTCTACAGTTAAGCTCCAGGAGTGTTTGGCTGGCCTCAAACCAACAGTGTTCCTGCCTCAGTCTCCTGAGTAGCTGGATTTGTTACTGTCATTTGCTCTCTTCTTTGTCCTCAAGTATGTGCTCTGCTTGCACAGAGGATTGCTCTAATTCACCCATGAACTTAGAACAGTACCTGGTGCATAGTAGGGGCTTATCAAATATTTATTGTGGAAATGAATATTTATGACTTGTCAGTGAATCAAAGCCCTGGTAGTATAGAGACACTACTACAATTTTGCCTGCAGAGAGAACCCTGACAGGCCTAGGTGCTTTGGTCAGGATCTTCAGGTTCTTTTCTTTTAAACATACTTAACTTGTCTTACAGTAAATGGCTCAGTGGTAAAGGCTTGCTTAGCATCAAAGCTCTAGATTTGAACCCTAGCACTATAAACAAAATAACAGTAATAAAAAAAAAAACAACAAAACCCTAACACACACATTGTAGCAAATGTATACATTTTGTGTTCAGTTTGGTGGATTTAATCCAGGCCTTCCCATATGCTAAACTTGTGCTCTTCTGCATTTTTTAAAAGTGCAAAAAAATGAAATTTAGAAACCACACACCATCTAGTGATTTTCCTCATCTTCTGGCACTTTTTCTATACTTTTGGAATTTGAGGAAACTGGTATACATTGTTAGTTTTAAATCACCTGTAACTCAAAAGCGATCCTTGCTGAGGTTTTATTTTATAGGTGTCTATGTATTTGCAATATATGCTGTTTAATGTCCCCTTTCTCTGCTCACATGTCCAGATAAACGTGGATCATCACTTTTGCATGGTTTAGGATCCTAATGTATCCGACCCCACGTCATTGTCCTTTGAGTTTCCCAAAGATCACGGTGATGCCGCAGCTGCCGACACATTTTTAACTGTATTTCTTACTCCTAGGGCAGAGTCCCAGGAGTGGAATGACCGGATCCAAGGGTTTTAAGGTCTTTTAAGCTCTTCGGAATATTTTCTAGGGAAGTCCTCACCGATCGTGACACCGGAGGTCGGTGTCTCTCGGTGGGCTCGCTGCTCATCAGCCTCCGAACACAGTCCCAGCTGGGAAGGCGTCCCGAGGCTGCGCGACCCCCCTGCGGTGGCGGGAGGGGGGCAGGGGGCTCCCGCCGCAGCTCTCCCTCAGCCCCCCCCCCCCGTCCGGTGTCCCGTGTCCCACAGCTTTCAGTTCTCTTTTTAAGAACCCGGGAAGTGGGGGGGGGGGGTGGAGTGGAGGTGGCGAATGTCGGCTGTGATGGCCGTGGGGCGGGGTCACCCCGTGTTTGAGCAAAGGGAAGGATTTCTCAACCAGAACCTAACACTTCCAGATCCTTCTTGAAAAACACCCGCCGGTTCCCACGCGAACTTCCAGCGACTGGCGCCATAAGGAAAGAGGAGGGGGGAGCGGGGTAGTCGGAGAAGGTGTCGCGGCTCGCAGGGGCGGGAGGAGGCGCTGCCCCTTTAAGGCGGACGCGGCACCTGGCCCTTTAAATCCGAGTCAGTTTCCCCTGACGTCAGCGGGCGGGCCGGCAGCCGCGCTGTTTACCGCGGCGCTGCCCGGCTCGCCGCCCCGAGTTCCGAGCCCCGGGCGCCCAGTCTGCCCGCCCTTAAAGGGCCCGCGCCCGGGAGCGCGCCGCCAGCCCCGCTCGCCCCTCGCCCTCGCCCCCCTCCCGCCGCGGCCGCCCCCGCCCCCCGCCGCCCCGCGGCTCTCCCGGCGTCCCGGGCTCCCGGCAACCAGCCGCCCGGTTCCCACGCCCCCCCTCCCGACGCCGGCCGGGGCTGCAGGCCGGCGGCCGCGTGCTCGGCCCCCTCGCGAGCTGGGGGTCCCTTCCGGTAGCCCCCCGCCCCGCCCGCCCCCGCCCCCGCCCCGCCGCCCCCTCCCCTCCGGGGCCCCCCGGGGAGCGGCCCCGAGGGAGGGGACATTTCCTAATCTCGGGCCGGGGTTAAAGTTCTGGCCCGGGTGAGATGCTGGAGGCCGCGGCGGCCGCCGCCACCCGCCCCCGAGCCGTCCCGCCGCCCGCCGCCGCCGCCGCCGCCGCTGTCACTGCCGCCCTGCCGGGGCCATGTTCGCCCGCGGCTTGCCCTACTTGGTGGCGCTCTTGGTGGCCTCGGTCGAGAGCCATCTGGGGGCTCTGGGGCCCAAGAACGTCTCGCAGAATGATGCCGAGTTTGAGCACACCTACTCCCACGAGGTCAACAGCGAGCTGGTCAACATCTACACCTTCAACCATACTGTGACCCGCAACCGGGTAGGCGGTGGGGAGCGGGGCCGGGGCCGGGGGGTGCCGGGGGGGGGCGAGCGGACCGGGCCAGCCGCCGGCCTGCGCTTCCCGACCCCAGTACCGTAACGGGCGCCTCTGGACCAGGTCTTACTTTCCCATCCTTGCTGCTCTGAGGCTCCAGCTGGTCCCCATCTCCTCTTCCTCCAAGCTGTGATGGGAGCAGGCCCCGGGCCGCTCCCTACCTCCTGGCCCTCAAGACCTGGAGCTCAGTAGGGTCTGGGTGACAGGGGAGGCAGGTTTGCCTCTGAGCCTGCCCAGACAACACCAGAAGACGAAGCAGGCCCAGGACTGAAAGGCTCTGTCCAGGCAAGTTTACACTTCAGACTCCCCAGGCAGGTGAACGGAGGGACTGCTCAGATCTCTCCCGATTTCAGAAAGCCAGCTGGCCTTGAAAGTTGAGGGTGGCAGAGATAAGGCCAACCGCATATTGGGTGGCAAGCAAAGGGGAGTTTGTCACCCATGAAGATCCAAAGTCATCCTGCCTTCTCACTGATTTCTTTCCAGTAGTCAAAGCCCAGCTTGGTCTGAGAAGTTCCCAGCAGTCAGAACAGATGAAAGAATCAATCCGTGGCCACCTAGTTGTGTGGTCTCCCACCTAGCTCTCTCTCCATCGCTTCTCCAGGACCAGAGCTGGGTTTACTGGGAGGCAGTGGAGTTGAGAGCATTGAATCTGGGGTTTTCTTCAGGATGGGAAGGGGTTTGGTTTCTGGCAGGGTAGGATCTGCCTTCTCTGAAGTCGGATCCCTTGCTTAAGAGTCTTACTTTCCTCTTTTTTTTTTTTGGTCTGTTGGGGGGCCTGAACTCTGGGCCTGGGCACTGTCCCTTAGCTCTTCAGCTCAAGGCTAGCACTTCACCACTTGAGCCATAGCACCACTTCCGGCTTTTTCTGCTTATGTGGTGCTGAGGAATGGAGCCCAGGGCCTCATGCATGCAAGGCATGCACTCTTACCACTGAGCCACCTTCCCAGCCCTTACCTTCCTTTTTGTCTACTTTCTGGAGTGTCCGTTCAATCCAAGCTGCAATGTTTAAACCTTAAGGAAATGCTAACTTAAGGCTTGGTTGGGTTGCAGCAGCCCAATAACAAGCAATCCTAGGATTTTTTTTTTCTTTCAGCTCTCACTATTCTGTAGAATTTCCTCCATAGCTAAGGGTGAAAGTGTTACTTTGTAGACAAGGAAATTGAGGGTCACAGATGTGAAATGATTTCCTCACAGCCTGTTCCTTGGTCAAAGCTAAGGATTCAGCCAGGTGCCAGCGGCCCCCTTGCCTGTAAGCACTAATGACTGGTGCCTATAATCCTAGCTGCTCAGGAGACCGAGATCTGAGGATCATGGTTCAAAGCCCACCCAGGCAAGAACATCTGTGAGACTTTGTGTGTGTGTGTGTGCGCGTGTGCCCACATTGCTCTTAGGACCTGGGCTCTGTGCTTGAGCTTCTTTTGCTCAAGGCCAGTGTTCTACCACTTGAGCCACAGTTTCATTTCTGGCTTTTTTTGGGATAGTTTATTGGAGATAAGAGTCTCACAGACTTTTCTGCCCAAGCTGGCTTTGAACTGTGCTCCTCAGATCTCAACCTCCTGAATAGGAGTACAGGTGTGAGCTACTAGTGCCCCCACCTGTGAGATTCTTAACTCTAATCAACTACCAAAAAGTTGGAAATGGAGCTGTGGCTCAAAGTGGTAAAACACTAGCCTTGAGCACAAAAGTTCAGGGACAACATCCAGGCCCTGAGTTTAATTAGCACAAAAAACAAAAATAAAAAACAGCTAAAGATACAATTTGGTTTTCAACACTTCCCCTTATCATTCTTCCCCATCTTTCATGGGTTCTGGCTTCCTGGTTATTGAACCAGAGCTTCTTGCTGGTTTCCTGGGTCACAAGGAAGAAGACTGAAAATTTCTTGCTATCCTGGGTCTGTGTGTCTGTGTGCTTATGTGCATGTGTGTGCAGACAGACCTGTGCAACTCATGCACGTGGATAGAAATGGGGTATCCTGGGGACTTGCAAGGTCTCTTCTGTGGGTCGTGTGTGTACTAGGCCTTACAGTTGCCTGGGTCCCGCTGGGCACACATGCAGTTGCCTCTAGGAGGCAGTCCCATGTGGAGACTAGGCCACCTGTTCTGGCAGAAGGAGGAAGATGGTTTCCATGCCTGGCAAGGATGGATGAGGGAGGGCAGGGCTCCGAATCTGGAGCCACGTGTTTGGGGACAGGCTGGGCAGGGTTTAAGAGTACTTCCTTGTCACCTGCAGACCGAGGGTGTGCGTGTGTCTGTGAATGTCCTGAACAAGCAGAAAGGGGCGCCTTTGCTGTTCGTGGTTCGCCAGAAGGAGGCTGTGGTGTCCTTCCAGGTGCCCCTAATCCTGCGAGGGCTGTGAGTAGGACCTGGGGATCTGGGAGGGGTTGGCCTAGCTCTGGCCTTGTTCACAACCGGACCCAGGATCCCTCTCTGTTTTCCTTTTTCCTGTCCACTCCCTGAACCCAGAAACTGCTCAGTGTCAGGAGGGCCACGGACAAGCCTGGAACTTGTTAGCCTAGGGCTTGGGAAGTCTGGGAACCTGCAAGAAAGAAGGGGGGCTTGCTCCTCTGAGTGCCAGGCATCCTGACCATCTGCCTTGGGCCATAGGTATCAGCGGAAATACCTCTACCAGAAGGTAGAACGGACGTTGTGTCAGCCTCCCACCAAGAATGAATCCGAGGTCCAGTTCTTCTATGTGGATGTGTCTACTCTGTCACCTGTCAACACCAAGTACCAGCTCCGAGTCAGCCGAATGGACAACTTCGTGCTCAGGTAGAGTGCAGGGTAGAATGAGGAGACCGTATGGCCTGGCCCCCTTCCCAGTCCTGGGAGTGACTTGGGGATTCTTCTCTGCCTTATAGGACTGGGGAGCTGTTTAGCTTCAATACTACTGCAGCCCAGCCCCAGGTAAAATCCTGTCGACCCCCCTCCCAGGGAGACATGGGAGACACTGAGCAGGAGTAGTTGATAGTCTTGCTAGGACTTCTAGCAGTCTCATTCCCCATGGTGGGCCCTTTTAGAAGCAGGAGCTCTGGTGGTGAAAGGTAGGCATCTGGGAACAGTGCAGAGACATGGCTCTGGTGCTGGGCTTGGTTTTTCTAATTCCACCTCTCAGGGGCTATCCTGAGTTAAAGAGGATGTTACACAGCAAGTGGGACTGCTCATACTCTGCCTGCTCAACCTCAGAGGATTGTGGGAACATCATCCTGAAATGATGCTCTCCTTGCCCTTCTCCATCCCTCAGTACTTCAAGTATGAGTTCCCTGAGGGAGTGGATTCTGTGATTGTCAAGGTGACCTCGAACAAGGCCTTCCCCTGCTCAGTCATCTCCATCCAAGATGTCCTGGTAAGTTCCCTGCCCTTTGACCACTCACCAGTGTGTAGCAGATCAATTGGACAAAGAAATAGGGCTCAGGTTCATCTGCCTCTTCCCTCCTCTCTCTCTAGTGTCCTGTCTATGACCTGGACAACAATGTAGCCTTCATTGGCATGTACCAGACCATGACCAAGAAGGCAGCCATCACTGTACAGGTAGGAAGTGCACAAGGCCTTCTGGGAGCTGTGTTGGCTGATAAACTGGGTACTTCTCCAAGCCCTGCTCCTTTTCCTTCTGCCCCATCCTACCATTTACAAGACTGAGTCTCTGTACTTCAGCCCTTTGTGATTTGGATCCCCTCAGGTATTTGAGAATGGAGCCACAATCCTAATCCCTTTGGGGACAGGAAAGAGCAGATTTTCTTTCTTGCTGTTGTAGTGAGGAGAGGAGAGACTGCTAGGGTCCTGTTCATTGAGGGTGGGGGGAGTGCTACACTTGGTGAAGGCCAAGGGGAAAGAGGATAGGGAGGGGGGAAGCCATGCAGCTGGTGGGCAATGTGACACTTCCACTTCTTTTCCTAGCCAATGTCCAACCTGAAACACGACGGCTTATCTGATGACAGAGGGCATATGTGTGTCCACGAATGTCCTGTTCATCTGTCCATCCTTCCTTCCTTCCTTTTTCTTTCTTTTCTTTTTTTTTTTTTTTTTTGGTCTTGGGGCTTGAATTCAGGGCCTGGGCTCTGTCTCTGATCTTTTGTGCTCAAGACTACCACTTTGAGCCACTGCCCAGGCTGGCTTTGAATATGATCCTCAGATCTCAGCCTCCTGAGTAGCTAGGATTACAGACATGAGCCACCAGCACCCACCCCCTCTGCCTTTTCTTTCAGCATTAGGGCTTGAATTCAGGGTCTCATGCTCTTGCTTGCCAATTTTTGCTGAAGTCTTTCACTCTACCATTTGAACCACAGTTCTACTTCTGGCTTTTTGCTTATTATTTGAACATGAAAGTCTCACAGACTTTTTTTTAACCTGGCCTGGCTTTGAACTGTGCATCCTCAGATCTCAGCCTCCTGAGTAGCTGGGATTACAGGTGTAAGCCAGCGGTGCCTTGTTATCATGCATTTTTTTTTCATCTGGCTAAGGTATAAGTCCAGTGTTTGGGCACTACTAGGTCCCAGTGTGATGCAGGACAGACCACAAGCAAAGACTGAAGAACCAAGTTCCCACTCATTCTCACTCATCAGCCCCAGGGCATCACTGAACCCCACTTTCCTAGCTCTATGACAGAAGTAATCAGACAGGTCCCATTAGACTCACTCGGTTGTCAAGCTTAGCACAAAACCAGCAATCAGATAATCCTGGCTCTCACACTTACTGACAACGTGACTCTACGCTCACTTCCCTGAATCTGTCCAACAAGGATAATGATAATACTTTCCCAAGGATCCTTTGTGAGGCCAGAGATAGAGCTCAGTAGTCGAGCCGTTGCCTGGCAAGTGCATAGCCATGTGTTCCACTCCCACTACCACAAACAAAAGGGGGAGAGATATTTGTGAGAATTAAATAAAATAATGTATATGAAGAGCTTAACAGAATGTCTGATCCAAAGTGAGTATTCAGAACGGGTGAGGGCAAGGGTACGGATGGTTCTCCCTCTCAGCCTCCTCATTATCTTACAGCGCAAAGATTTCCCCAGCAACAGCTTTTACGTGGTGGTCGTGGTGAAGACTGAAGACCAGGCCTGTGGAGGTTCCTTGCCCTTCTACCCCTTTATGGAAGGTACGTTTTGTGCCCTAGGCCTGGCTAGGGACAGGCAGGGCCTAGTAGCTTCCCGGGAGGTAGAAAGCCTGCTTGTCTTTTGGTAGATGTGATGGGACCTGGGGTTTGGGGCCCCAGACCCTCCAAAGCCTGGTCCCACCAACTTTATTATTTTTTTTTTTTAATTTTATTTTATTTTATTTGAGAACATACGGTACAGAGGGGTTACAATTATATGGGAAGGATAATGCATACATTTCTTACCAAGCATTGCAGCCTCCTCCTTTGTTTACCCTTCACCTCCCTTCCCAGCCTCCCCCCTCCCCCCCCACCCAATCCTTCCCCCATCCCCTCCCCCACACGGACATTGTAAAGCTCGTTTTTGACATGACATTTTGTACTTCTCATTGTTGCAACAGGTCCACCTGAATCCTTAAACGACTTGTTTGTCCCCCTCTCCTCCACAAGTTATACTGACATCAAATATAGTGAAAGCGGGGGTTACACTGTGGGGGAGGGACATACAAAGCAACCAAGAAATAATCTTATAAATGCATTAGAAACACATGCATGAAAGAAAAAAAAAACATTAAAATACATATTTAAGGGATCGTTTTCCTAACATCACATTATCTGACCTTTTCCGCTTGACTCATACATATACTAGATATTGCATATAAGGGAAACCATGGGACCTATGTTTCTTTGGGCCTGGCTTACTTCACTTAATATAATTTTTTCAAAGCCTTTCCATTTCCTAACAAATGGGGAAATGTCATTCTTTCTGATGGAGGCATAGAATTCCATTGTGTATATATACCACATTTTCTTGATCCATTCATCTACTGAGGGGCATCTCCCACCAACTTTAAACACTCTGCAAGCAGTAGTTCTTGACCACATTCTCTGACATTTTACTTCCAGATGAACCGGTTGATCAAGGGCATCGCCAGAAAACCCTGTCAGTGCTGGTCTCCGAAGCGGTCACGTGTGAGTGTGGGTGGCTGAGTGGGACAGATGATAGATGAGCCTCGCAGGCTCTTCCTGTCACATCCAGGAAGGAGGCTGTTCTCTGAAAGGCAAGGGTGGTGAGGCGTCTGCCCAAGTAGGCTGATGAGTGGAGAGAGGTGTTCTAAGTGGGGAGGTGGGCTCTATGGTGAGAATTGCTGAGAGGGTGGGTCCTAGTGCAATGCAGGACAGAATCCATGAGCAAAGTCTGAAGAGCTGAGCAAACCACCCATGGCTCACACCTGTAATCCTAGCTACTACAGAGGCTGAGATCTGAGGATTACATTTCGAAGCCAGCTAGGGCAGGAAAGTCTGTGAGACACTTATCTCCCATTAACTACTAGACAAACTGGAAGTGGAGCTATGACTCAAGGGGTAGAGCTCTAGTGAGCACAAAAGCTCAGGGATAGCGGCTAAGCACTAAGTTCAAGGATTGGCACAAAATAAGCAAACAGGGCCTCAGCTGGTGGGGCATGACTTAAGCTTAGAGAACTTGCCTAGTAACCTTAAGGTCTTGAGTTCAAACCCAAGAACTGCCAAAAGAATTTTTTTTTGTGGGGGGAGGGGGAAGAGGTGGTCGTGGGGCTTGAACTCTGGGCCTGGGTGCTGTCCCACAACTCTTCAGCTCAAGGCGAGTGCTGTACCACTTGAGCTACAGCACCACTTCCGGTTTTCTGAGTGGTTTATGGGAGATAAGCGTCTCACAGATTTTCCTGCCTGAGCTGGCTTTGAACCCCAATCCTCAGATCTCAACCCCCTGAGTAGCTAGGATTACAAGCATGAGCCACCAGTGCCCAGCCCAAAAGAATTTTTAAAAATTTAAAAAAAGAACCCTAGTTATGCTCAATAATATTTACTGGGTGATTAAATAAGGCCCTCTATAAACTGAAAAGGATTATGGTAGGAAAGGAAAGAAGCTGAGTCTTTCTGTCTGGCTTATTTATTCAGCAAATATTTATTGAGCCCCTCCTGCAGGCCAGGTGCTGTGCCAGGCTGCCGTTCTCAAGAGAGCTACTGTGTAGAGGAACCCGAGGCCGAGGCTCTGCAGGGTAACTAGAGCTGTAGTGAACTAAGGATAAGTCACTGCAGAAATTAGGACAGGGAAGCCCTCCTTGAGGGCACAGTCTCTGAGGGGTGGTTAAGTCCAGATGGAGTTTTCAAGAAGACAGAAACCTCTAGCACAGGAAGTGACATGAGCAAAGTCAGAATCAGGACTGAGTTTGGTGTGTTGCGGGACTGCCAGTTGTTCATATAAGCTGGATATAACATTTAGAGAAATGGGGAGAGCTTGGGTTGGACTCACAAAGGCTCTTGGATATCATGGTGGGCAGTGTTGGAAGGTTTGCCATACTCACCTCTCTGTTTGCCATGTTTCCTTCCCTGCAGCAGAGGCCTATGTCGGTGGGATGCTCTTTTGCCTGGGCATATTTCTTTCTTTCTACCTGCTGACTGTCCTCCTGGCCTGTTGGGAGAACTGGAGGTAAAGTGGAACTGCTGGGCGCCCCCTGCTCTGGAGTGAACTGGATGGGAGGTATGGGGGACATAGCCCTAAGGAATCTGCGCTGGCCCAGAGTTATCTTGGAACTGTCCCTGGGACAAAACAAGACAGGTTATCCTGTTGGGTCTGTGGTCCATCACTGGCTACTCCCCTGGAAATGGGCTCCTCTCCTTCAATCGCTGACCCAAGCAGGAAGATCCTGCATTGTTCCCCAGCCTGGGAGAGACCATGGGACCAAGGGTGGAGGAGAGAATGACAGGGATCAGAGTAGGTAGAGAGGGTAGAAAGAAGGACAGCCCAGCCCAGAAGGTTCTCATGTGGGTATCCTCTGGATTCTGTCCCTGTAGGCAGAGGAAGAAGACCCTACTGATGGCCATTGACCGAGCCTCTCCAGAAAGTGGTACCTCACCGGAGTCTCTTGTGGGGGAAATGGGCAGGATTTACGTAGTATTTGAGGAGGGCAAATGGTGGCTAGTTCCCTTGGGAGTTGGAGGAGATGGGTTGGGGCTTTTGCATGTTCAGATCGTGAGAGATGCACCACAGGTGGAAATGGAGCCAGGATCTGGTGCTCCCTAACATGCAGCTCCTGAAAGGTGTTGCTCGGTCTGTTCTGTGTCTGGTGGCACTGTCTGCCTCAGGAAGTCTATATCTGGGATTATTAACCTGTTCTCTCTCCCTTTCCTCCACCCGTCATCTCTTTCTATTCTCTTCCTGCTGGGGACCTTCCCTCTCAGCTTCTCTCCTTGGTAAGCCTTAGGTGCAGTGGGCAGAGGAGCCGCTGCCCAGGTTGGGGAGGGAGGTGTCTCAGGGGAACTGGGCAGCTGGATGTCATTTGTCCTAGCTACCAGTCTTCTTAGTTGTCTTTCTTTATGAAGGGAAGACACAGGAGGGTGCGTGTTTCCATTGAGAGGCACGCTGGAGGTTGGAGTGCATGGGGGGTGGGAGTGGGGGATGAAGTGGGCTGGTCAGTTAAATGCATGTTCTTTGCTACTGGCATGACCCCTCTCTGATTCTCACTTCTCCGCTGGATTCTCCCTTCACTCTTCCCCTGGCTCTAGGTCTCTCTCTGCTTCCAGAGCTGAAGGGAGCTTGACTTTTCATTGCAGGTCACCCTCGGGTCCTGGCTGATTCCTTTCCTGGCAGCGCCCCTTACGAGGGTTACAACTATGGCTCCTTTGGTATGTGTCAACGCTAGAGACTATACATGGCTACTCACTGCCTGGTCTCCTTTGGTTAAGGTTGCCTAAGTCACCTAGGGGTGGATGGTTCTGGGTTCCCCTTCCCCAAGGTCACTCTTTCAACCTCCCTTCCTATATTCCCTGCAGACACTGGTTCTGGATCCACTGATGGTCTGGTTGACAGCACGGGTACTGGGGACCTCTCTTACAGTTATCAGGGTAAGTGGGCCAGGCGGGAAGGGGGCATGTGGTGCAGGGCTGCTATTGGCTGGGTGAAACGTGGTGGGCGGTTGCCTCTTTTGCCAGATGCTGGAACTCGGGAAGGGCTGCTGTTTTCCCGCCCCTTCTCTCCCTCTTTCCTCCTCAGTCCCTCTGTAACTTTCCCTTTCCTTTGAAGGGCACGACCAGTTCAAGCGACGCCTCCCCTCTGGCCAGATGCGGCAGCTGTGCATTGCCATGGGTAGATGTGGGGAGGGGGCGGGGCTGCCCTGCCAATCAGCTCCTGCCAGGGCGGTTTGACTGGAGCCTCTGGGCTCCAGAGCCAGAAGGATGCTTGGTGCATGGCTTCCCCATCTAATGCCAATGATGCCAGCTCCTGTGTCTTCTGAGATAGGCACTGGCCGCCAATGACAGCGGGCAGGCACCTTGGCTACTCCTAAGCCAGATGTTCTAGCTTGCTGTCTTGGCCTCCTCTTTCCCTTCCCTGGCCTCTGGGCCTCTGAGAGCTTCTAAAGGCAGCCTAGAGGCAGCCTCTTGCCTTTGTTTGTGCCCCAAGCCCATAGTGGCTTTACCCTAGGGGCGGCCAAGGCAGTATCTCTTCAGAAGCCACAAGACTGAGCACTTTCCAGCTGCTGTGATCAGTAGAGTTGAATCCTTTTGCTTGTGTCCAGGACCCTGGATCTGCTCAGTGACTGATCTGGGGAGCTAGCTCAGGGAGGGGAGCCAGATGTGGGGCAAAGCCGGGGTGGCCTTGTTTGCTGGCCTCTTGGAGAGCTCCCCTTCCTCCCCCTCTGACGCCTCCCAGGGCCTGAGCCCACCTCTACTCCTGCTCTGAGCCCTGGGCCATAATTGGCCTCTTCCCAAGTGCCCAGTAATTTTGACAGTTGCCTCAGATGGGTGGGGCAGACGGGGCTTTGTATCTACCAGCCCAGCCTCTTTCTTTCTTTCTTTCTTCCTGCCTTTCCCAGACCATTCCTTTGAACCAGTGGGTTCTCGGCCACGCCTGGACTCCATGAGCTCTGTGGAGGAGGATGACTATGACACCCTGACTGACATTGATTCAGACAAGAATGTCATTCGCACCAAGGTCTGACACGCATGGGCCTGGTCAGGGCTTTCTGGAGGACGATGAGGTCTCGGTCCAGATGTGGTGCAGTGGGGAAGCAGAGGGAAGGAGCTCAATGGAGGCAGGAGACATCCCAGGAGACACTAACTCACCTTCTGACTCTTAAGTTCTCCTGGCTTAACTGGCAGTGGGGGATAGCCTAGAACCCTGCCCACCAGAATGCTCAGGGAGGCTCCTAACTCTGAGTGGTGAGTGAGTAGGGCTCACTCTGGCTTCTTTCCAGCAATACCTCTGTGTGGCTGACCTGGCGCGGAAGGACAAGCGTGTTTTGCGGAAAAAGTACCAGATCTACTTCTGGTGAGCCGGTCAAGCAGGAAGGACCCCGCTACTGGGGGGAGAAGGCGGCTCCCCAGGTCTTGCCCACCTCAACACCTCCCCTACTCTCCTTAGGAACATCGCCACCATTGCCGTTTTCTACGCTCTTCCTGTGGTACAACTGGTGATCACCTACCAGACGGTGAGGGGGCAGGCGCCAGCTCACCTGCCTACACTTTGGGGACTGCCCTACATTCAGAGCAACTCAGCCAGGGGCTCTGCAGTGTGCACAGGTCACAGGTTTTAAAAATCTATCTCTGAAGCCAGAGCACCAGTGTCTCACACCTGTAACCTTATTACTCAGGAAGCTGAGATCTGAGAATCGTGGTTCAAAGCCAGCCTAGGCAAGAGAGTCTGTGAGACTCTGATCTTTCAGTTAAATTAGCAAAAAGTCAGACTTGGAGCTATCACTCAAAAGGTAGAGTGTCAGCCTTAAGGAAATAAAAGCTAAGAGACAGAGCCTAGGCCCTGAATTCAGCTCCCAGTACTGGTACCCACATATATGTGCATGTGCGCGCACACACACACACACACACACACACACACAAACACACACATACAATTCTGCCTCTGTTTTACCAGCAGAGAGACTTTGGTCAAGTCATAAAACCTCCCCAAGGGGCTGGGAAGGTGGCTCAGTGGTAGAGTGCTTGCCTTGCATGCATGAGGCCCTGGGTTCGATTCCTCAGCACCACATAAGCAGAAAAGGCTGGAAATGGTGCTGTGGTTCAGGTGGTAGAGCCCTAGCCTTGAGCTGAAGAGCTGAGGGACAGTGCCCAGGCCCAGAGTTCGGGCCTCACAACTGACAAAAACAAAAAACAAAAAAAACCTCCCCAAGTATCAGTTTCTTCTTCATCTGCAAATTTTGGGGGTGTTAGCTCGAAAGCATTGTGGTAGGGATGATGGACTTTGCATGTGTTTGTTTCTCTTCCTTTTTCTCGGCACTGTGTGGCAAGAACTGTCATGGTCCTGCCTTGTAAAGAGCCACATGTAAAGAGAGGGGACAGGCCTGGTGCTGGTGGCTCACATCTGTAATCCTAGCTGCTCGGGAGGCTGAGATCTGAGGATCATGGTTCAAAGCCAGCCAGGGAAGGAAAGTCTGTGAGACTCATCTCTAACCACCAAAAGGCCTCAAGTGGCGCTGTGGTTCAAGTGTTAGAGTGCTGGCTTTGAGCACACAAGCTTATGGACAGGTTCTGAGTTCAAGCCCCAGTACTGGCACAAAGTTTTACAAAGGGGGCAGTGACTGTGCCATTTGGCATCCCTCTGGTCATGGGGAACACGTGCCTGGGAGAGAGAGAGAGAGAGAGAGAGAGAGAGAGAGAGAGAGTGTGTGTGTGTGTGTGTGTGTGTGTGTGTGTGTGTGTGTGCCACAGGGGATTTGCTCTTTTTGGCTGATCAGGCCCAGGTGATACGGTGTGGGCTGTGGAGCAAGGCTGGCACATGAGCAGCTCCGCTTCTTGTCCCTCCCCCCCCACTCCGTAGGTGGTGAATGTCACAGGGAATCAGGACATCTGCTACTACAACTTCCTCTGTGCTCACCCACTGGGCAACCTCAGGTGGGGATCATGCTGGTTATTGTGGGGACTGTCCCTTCTCCAGGGCAGAGCTGGGGGGGGGGGGTTGTGAATGAGTGCCTGTCTGGGTCCCAGGAGAGAGGCCTGAGTGTGAGGTTGGAGGCAACTACCTGGCTGTTGCTCCCTTTAGCGCCTTCAACAACATCCTCAGCAACCTGGGGTATATCCTGCTGGGGCTGCTCTTCCTGCTCATTATCCTGCAGCGGGAGATCAACCACAACCGGGCCTTGATGCGCAATGACCTCTACGCCCTGGTGAGCCAGCACCTGCCTGCCCACTGACACCTTGCTCTCCCGCCTCTGCTACCTCCTCTCTCAAGATGTGGCCCTGCCCAGCTAGTTGTGCTCAGCCTGGATCTGTCCTGCCCTGTCCTGTCTGTCCTGTCCTCCTATCCTTCTCAGCCCAGCCTTCCCCAGTCCAGCTCTGCTTTCAGTTGTCTAGGCCTTCCCTAGCCAGCTATGGCCTGCCCTTTCTTTCCCTGCTCTGCTCAGACCTTCCCTGCCCAGGCTCACTCTGCCCTGCCCTGTCAGCCTAGCTCTGTCCTGGCTTACCCTGCTCTGCCCAGGCCATTCCTGACCTGACTTACCACGCCCAGTCCTGCTCTGCCCTGCCTAGGCCTTCCCTATCCAGGACAGCCCTGCCCTGTCCAGCCTTCCCTGACCTGATCTTTCCTCTCTGCCAAGCCTCAGACACATACATACTCAATGTATGGCTCACCCCTTTTCCCCCTCCGTCCTCTTGGGGTTCCTTCTTTGGAATCCCTTCTTTCCTTCCCACCTCACCTCTGCCCTGCCTCTCCTTCTTTCTCTCTGCACAGGAATGTGGGATCCCCAAGCATTTTGGGCTGTTCTATGCCATGGGCACAGCTCTGATGATGGAGGGACTGCTGAGTGCTTGCTATCATGTCTGCCCCAACTATACCAATTTCCAGTTTGGTGAGTAGAGCCCTTCTCTTCCCTACAGCAGGGACCTGTCTGAGCTTTCTACCATCTCCAAGCCACCCACAGGGACCCCCACCCCCACCCCAAGACCCAGCCTATAGGTGGCTCTGATGCTGAGCACACACATCCTGGCATATGGAAAACGGCCATTTGTTAAACTTTTCCTGCAGAAATACTGAGAAAGTAAAGATAACAAGAAGTGCTCCCTGATCTCAGGGTACTTATAGATGGACACCCCAAGTTTCCTTGCCAGGGGCTTCCCTCTGGGTGACAGGGATAGTTAAGAGACTAGTGCTAAAGAACCCGAGATGGTGCAGGGACTAGAACTAAAGTACCAGTCAGCCACCATCCCCGATGCAGACACGTCATTCATGTACATGATCGCCGGCCTCTGCATGCTGAAGCTCTACCAGAAGCGGCACCCGGACATCAACGCCAGCGCGTACAGTGCCTATGCCTGCCTGGCCATCGTCATCTTCTTCTCCGTGCTGGGCGTGGTGAGGGCCTGACTCCTGTTGCACATTCCTGCTCCTTCCCGGGCCTTTCTGAGAGCCTTCCCCTGGCTGAGCAGCCAGCCCCAGCAAGGATGAGCCTGGGAAGCAGGGGAGCAGTTGCTCTTAGTGCCGCCTGCCTCACCCCTGCCCCTGGGGGCTTCCTGACAGGTCTTTGGTAAAGGGAACACGGCGTTCTGGATCGTCTTCTCGGTCATCCACATCATTGCCACCCTGCTCCTCAGCACACAGCTTTATTACATGGGCCGCTGGAAGCTGGGTAAGGGGCATACCCAGGAGCGCATGTGTGTGTGTGGGAGGGGCACTGGGGGATGCCTGGGGTCAGGGGTCAGCCGCCTCAGAGTCCTGGATACTCAGGAGACCCTTGGATTATATCCTTTGAACGGGGGTCTGGAGGACTCACTGAGGGAGAAATTAGAGAAGACCTCAGCCTTGCTGTACCCTCTGATGCCCTAGCACCTTTCAGCAGGCACCCCTCCCCGCCAGGGGTTCAGCACAGGAGGGAACCCCAAGCCTCTCATCACCGTGCCCTTCTCTGCAGACTCGGGGATCTTCCGCCGCATCCTGCATGTGCTCTACACGGACTGCATCCGGCAGTGCAGCGGGCCCCTCTACGTGGTACCTGCCCAGCGTCCCGGCCCCTTGCTCCTCCGTCCACTCTCTTCTCTGTGGGGGCAGGGAGGCGTAGAGGGGAGATCAGGGCAGGAGTGGGAACCGTCTGACTCGGGCCTCCTGCCACTTCTCTCCCTGTCTCTCTTCCCCCTCTCAGTCTCCGTGTCTCTGCTTCCCCCCAGGACCGCATGGTGCTGCTGGTAATGGGGAACATTATCAACTGGTCGCTGTGAGTGTGGCCATTGGCTGTGGTGGCCCCTGGCTGGGTGGACAGCAGGGGATGTGGTCAGCCATGACCCTGGCAACCATGACTGCCTGGGGAACTTAATGGGATGGGGATGGGGGAGGAGTGGGGTGGGAGATGAAAAGACAGGTGTGTTAGCTCTAGGCTTCTAGAATTTTCTGTGGGCTTCTGAGCCCACCTTAACATGAGCATAAAGCGTGGTGCAGAGGGGGCCAGGGAAAGGCCTTCTGCTTCATCAGCCCTTCACCCCTCCTGGCAGGGCTGCCTATGGGCTCATCATGCGCCCCAATGATTTCGCTTCCTATTTGTTGGCCATTGGCATCTGCAACCTGCTGCTTTACTTTGCCTTTTACATTATTATGAAGGTGAGTTGGGGAGGGCTTAGCCGTGTCTAACAGCACTGTTTTGTGGGGGTGGAGATGGGCCTCTATCTATGCCAGAGACTGGTACAGAGATGAGAGCGCTTTTCATATGCTCCGGGGAGGCCAACTACTATGTATTGATACCCTACACCAAGTTGTGCCCCCCCAATCCAGAGCCCCTTTCATTGCAGGAGGAACTGAAGCAGGGGGTGGGGGGGAGGGCTTGGGGAGGACTGAGGACCAGGTGCTTCCTCAGAGACCCCTGTGCCATCCTGAGTAAGAGGAAAGCATCCTTTGCTGGTGCAGGGTTCTGGGTAGACATGAGGAGGACAGAAGGCTGCGTGAGCTCTGGCTGGGGCTTCCTGCAGGATGCATCCTCAGTGTCCAAGCCGCCCTGGGAGAGGAGTCTGGGAAGGGCAGGAAGTGGCCTGGGTGGCAGCCTGACCCTCAGCACACACCCCTTTCCCCATGGCAGCTCCGGAGTGGAGAGACGATCAAACTCATCCCCCTGCTCTGCATCGTCTGCACCTCTGTGGTCTGGGGCTTTGCACTCTTCTTTTTCTTCCAGGGGCTCAGCACCTGGCAGGTGAGTGGGCACCTGAGGTTCCTATGAGTCACCGCCTGGGCCAGTCCCTCCGACGGTCCAGTGCTTCCATGTAGCTGCCCTTCCATCCAGTCTTCCCAGTGCTCAATATTCTAGTCATTCACGTTTTACTTAGGAGGGAGCTGAGTCTCAGAGGGGCTAAGAGACCTCCCAAAAGCACACAGCCAATGAGTGGCAGCTTGGGTTTGAAGGCATAGTTGCCAGACACTCTGCCACCTCCCAAGGGCACCTACTGGGTGTCAGGCTGTAGCTCTGTAGAATCAAGTGCCACATCATCTCTTGGCTATGTGGTGCTCATTGTTCAGTTCCAAGAAATGCCATCCATGTCTTTTACGCTGGGGATCAGACCTGGGCCCTTACACATGTTGAGCGTGCATCTACCAGGAGCTATGCCTTGAGCCCCTCGTTCATGCTGTTTACAATATGGTAAAGATCAAAGGCCAGCTGGGTAGGAAGACTTCAGGAGAGGCTGGCAAGGTCCAGGAAACCTTCCTGGGAGAAGCAGGCTTTGTGATTTGCTCTCCGTCATAAAGGCTGTGGGTGATGGGGACCAGGGCCTCACAGTGCAGAGATATTGTGCTCTGAGTCATCATTCAGAGGCAGGAATGAGGGAGGCAGATGGGGAAGTCAGTGAAGGTACTGACAGATGAGGAAACAGATGAGGACTGTGAGCGCTGCCAGGGTGGGGCCTGAGCATAGCACAGACTGTGGCAGACACAGGCCATGTTTGTGGGGCAGAGCAGGGAGGACCTTGCGGTCATGTGGCAGGGGATCCGGCTTGGTATGGCGCTTTGGAGCAAACAGTTGACTCAGGGTGGATGAGAGCAGGGTCAAATCCAAGACGGAGCAGTGGGCTTCTGGCATGCCTGGGTCGGAGGGGGCTGCAGGCAACCTCAGCTACTGCCCTAAGATAAAGAGGAAGAGAGTCTAAAGGGAGCAGAATGAGAAGAACAGAAACCTTGTAACAAATGGGAAACAAAAGAAAAGGAATTTGTCACAGAGGCCATTTCTTAGGGAGGTGAGGGACAGGTTAGGGCAGGATGCTTTCCTGCCTGAACTGGGGGTTGGTGCTCTGATGTGGGATAAGGGGGTAGTGGCTCTGGCCTGGCCAGAGCAGGACCAGCAGGCTGCTGTCCCTGTCCCTGTCCCTGCCCCAGAAAACCCCTGCGGAGTCAAGGGAGCACAACCGGGACTGCATCCTCCTCAACTTCTTTGATGACCATGACATCTGGCACTTCCTGTCCTCCATCGCCATGTTTGGGTCCTTCCTGGTAGGCGGGACTCCCCTGGCCCAGAGCCTGGAGGGCGGAGTAGAGGCTGGGGCCGCCTCTTGTCCATGCTGACCCAGCGTCCTCCGCAGGTGCTGCTGACACTGGATGATGACTTGGATACAGTGCAGCGGGATAAGATCTATGTCTTCTAGCTTGCACTGGACCCTTGGCTTCACTTCATGGAGCTCTGAGCTCCCCTGCGTCCCCTGCCAGGTGCCTCTGTAGGCCTGGGGCTGAGTCCCAGCCCAGCTGCCCAGCACTGGACATCAGTGGGACAGTGAGGTTCTAGCCCAGGCCCAGGTCAGGACAGTCATGGAGGGGGTGGGCGCTGAGACTTGCGGCTGCCCTCTGCCAGGGAGGAGGCTGCTCCCCTGCTTCCCCAGACACTGGCCAGATTGCTGCTTTCTTCTCAGTGTTGGGCCTTCCGTGGGCCTCTGTCCATTGGCTCTCCGTCCGTCTGTCCGTCTGTCTGCCCGTCCGTCCATCTGTTTTATCCCTCTACAGGAGGGATAAAGGAGTGAAGGTGTTTCTTGCCCCCATTTCATGCCTTGAATTCTGCCATCTTCCCCTCCCCCCCAGCCAGGGACCCAAAGCCCGCCTTTCCTCTCGAGCTGCGGTCCTCTCTGGGGCTGCCATCACTGCCCACTGGTCAGCCAGGATGGATGTGGCCGTAGGACTTTGGGGGCTGGCCACCTGGTGCCAGGCTTTTGGTGCTAAGGCCTTCAAGGGGCCCTGAGCAAGACCCCTCCCCCTGACCCGTGCTCCAGGCTGGCTTTTTAGCAATGAGGATCAGCCCCGTTGGAAAGCTGCTGCAGTCTTGAGGGGATGAATTCAGAGGTCAGCTCCTTATTCCATCAGCTTCCAGCAACAAAACTGGAGACAAATGGGGCTCACCTGTATGTTTCCACGCCCACCGTCCTGCAGGCCCCAGCCGGGGCCCCTTTCAGTGCCATTCACACTGCCCAAGAGTGTCCAGGGGCAAAGGAGGGGATGCGCACAGAACCCAGCCCAGCCTGCATCCCGACAGCCTTGGAGCCCCAGTGCCTGTCTTAGGAAGGGGCTTAAGAGGGGACGTGCCATTTTCTTCTGTGTCCCAGGTCCCAGCCTCATGCTAGGACCCTGGGCTGGCTTTTGAGTTTCCGTCCATCTTCAGTCACGTTCTGTGTTAACATGCACATGTGTGTGCAAGTGTGCATGCGTGTGCGCATGCACACACACACAAAGCCTTGGAGTTTACATGGAGTCACCCCAGCTCTCGGCCCTTCGTGGCTCTGATCCTTGGCTCCTTTTCACTACACTTGGTCCATTCCAGGTGCCAAGGATAGGCAGGCAAGGTTGGGCCTCCGCCTTGGAGCTGGGAATGTGTTCTATTCCCCTTGACTTGTTTCTATAGCTCTCCTCGGTCTGGGGAGAGAAGGGGTCTAGGTCTTGGTGTCAGAGCCCCATTTTATGTCTTTCCATGCTACGGTTGCATTTGTTTTCTACGAATGAGTGCACTCAATAAAGAACCCGACTCTGTTCCTGTGTCTTTGTTTGCCCCTGTCCTGGGTGGGAATGTGGAGTCAGTGCGGGGACAGGGGCTTCCAGGCCACATTTCTTCTAGCTTTCCTTGTCCCTAGGTCACTGTCACCTTGGGAACTGCAGCCCCTCGATTGCCTTGCAGTTTTCCTCAGGAATACGTGGACTCAGGAATCATTTACCAGAGAGCTGCCCTGAACAAGGCTCTGTGCTGCGCAGAGACCCCTTCCGCTGTGATGCCTTCCCTGCCTCTGCCGTTTGGCCCCACCCACTGGGCAGAGGTCACCTTCCCTCTGGCCAGCCTGGCAGTGACCTCTGCCCTGGCTTTCATGGATGAACATGCAGGGCAAGGTGGCAAGCTGGTTGATAGACACCAAGAGGAAGTTTGGGTTTTTGGCTCTAGTTTAGGAGCTTGAACTCAGGGCCTGGTGATTTCAGTTAACTTTTTCTTCTCAAGGCTGGCACTCTACCAATTGAGTGAGTGAGTGACCACTTCTGGCTTTGTGTGTGTGTGTGTATGTGTGTGTGTATGCGGCACGCACGCATACTGTTCCTGGGGTGTGAACTCAGGGCAGGGATGTTATCCCTGAGCTTTTTTGCTCAAGGCTGGTGTTCTACCACTTGAGCCACAGCTCCACTTCAGGCTTTTTGGTGGTTAATTGGAGGTAAGAGTCTCACGGACTTTCCTGCCCAGGCTGGCACTGAACCTTGATCCTCAGGTCTCAGCCTCCTGCGTAGCTAGGATTCCAGTTGTGAGCTGCCAGTGCCCAAGTTCAAGAGAGAGATTTGAAACATTTTGGAGGGTTGATTTAGATTTCATCAGGCAAAGGATTGATACGCTGTAGAGGTTGAAGAGTCTAGTGAATTCCGGACACCAGCAGAGGACACTAAAGGGTGTGGGCTCCCCTCCCTGCTCTTCCACACAGACACCACTAGGAGGCGCCCTAGCTCTTCACACCACCAGGATCCTCACAAGGTTGGCAGTGTTGGGCAGAGCTTCTGAGGCAAGTCCTCCCCTGCCTGCCTGGTTTGATCGCCCCTCTCCTGGAGCCCTTGTTTGTCTTGGGTGGTGTGCTGTGTGCTGTGTGTGTGTGGTATACAGCAGAGAGTGTTAAAGGCTCCTTACCAGGGGCCTAGCATGGAGAGTACCACAGACCCCAATGTATGTCTCTCGCTTTTCTTCAACTGTCCCTTCAAAAGATCCTTGCAGCTGGAGCCAAGCAAGATGGCAGTGGTTGGTAGGTGAGAATGACGAATCATCTAACAGGATAGATGGGATGGAAAGAGGGACCACCTGGCTCCCTGGGACCCCTAGCATTCGTGTCTATCCCTGCCAGGGCCTGGAGCCCCTCCCATGGTTACTGCCCTCTGGACAGAGTCAGGTTCCACTCACTGCAGCTGACCGCTCAGCTCCCACCGCCACACTGAAGCTTGCAGCGCAAGACCTGAATGCTGTCCCCAGCCTGGGCAGGGCGGCCAACACTGAAAGTGAGGGTGTGCAAACCTCTCGGGTGTACACAGAGGGGTACACATACATACCCAGGGGTGGACAGGGGTGCCCAGACCCTGCCAGTCACCACGCACCACTCTGAGACTCGGTTTTCTGCTCTGCACAATGGGCTACTAACACGAAACAGTCACTGCACAGTGCCTGGCAGGGAACAGGTCCTCAGTAATGAGTTCTGCTCATCACCTAGATGCAGCAGCCCCAAGAGGACAGGGTGGTTGGTTTGCCCGGGGGCCCCCCCCCCAGCTCCTCCCCAGCCCCCTTCCCTCTCCTGCTAAGCTCTCTTGAATATCTGCTCCACTCAAACTTGGGGAGCCACAAAGAAAGGAACAGCCCAAATCCCAAGAGCAGGCGAGGCTGGCGCGGTCCTGCCCATAAAAGGCTTTTCCCGGCCGCGCCCCGCCCCGGCCGCTCCATCCCCAAAGCACGCAGGGAATGTCTCGGGCAGCCCGAACAGTCTGCTCCAACTTGGTGTCTTTCCCCAAATATGGAGCCTGTGTGGAGTCACTGGGGGAGCTGGAGGTGGGGAGCAGAGCCGGTTTCCTCCAGCAAGGAGGGGGCTAGGGGCGAGCCAGCGGGGGGTGGCTGACATCAGCGCCGTGCAGCCCTTTAAACCTCTCTCCCCGCAGCGCCCAGCCTGTCTGCCCCAGCCCGGACACCCAGCCCACCCGGACACACCGAGCGCTCCTGCAGCAACGCGAGTGTGCCTGCTTTCTCAGGGAACTTGGATCGGGACAGGTCAGGCTGAGCTCTGAACAGCTCCCTCCTCACAGGCCCCCTGGCTGTGTCCTCAGATGATGGCTTGGTGGGTGGGGGGACCCCCCAGGGTGGAACTCTCCCCCCCCCCCTTTCACTCCCCAAATACCCATATGGCTCTCAATTCAACCAGGCTGCCTGGTCTTGTTTAAGATGGCCAGACTGGCTTGGCTGCTGCAAAGGATCTGATGGTAGAAGCCATGGGAGGGTGAGAGGGAGGTCCACCATTTGAGGCCGTGTGTGAGGCTGGTTTGGCCAAGTCTCTGTTGTCTGTCTCCCTCTAGAAGAATGCCCAAGAGAGGGGAAGGGCGGCAAGTGCTCTAGTTCAGGCTGCTCCCCAGGCTGGTCCGAAGACTTGAGGGGCACAGGAGAAACACCCCACCCCCCTCCCGGGGTGGCACTATGAAGGACTCTGGACCTTTTCATGTTTCCAGGATTGGTGATCAAACCCAGGCCCCTCCATCAGGTGCATGCTAGGCTCACCTCCGGCCATGGAGCCACACGCACAACCACACAGAACAGGCTGGCTGGCCATGTGCAGGGCCTGGCTAGACGACTGTTCTAGAAGCATGTGGTTCCTTCCAGCCTGAGGTGGGAGGTGAGAGGGCTGCGGGTGGAGGAGCTGTGTGGCAGGGTCTGCTCAGTCCTGGCACTCTTGCCCGGCCCAAAGGATGTTAGTGGTTTCCCTTTTGGTTATGAGGCTGCCCTGAGGCTGGATCACATTGGTGAAGTGGGGTTACCCCACTGTATCTCCCCCGTCCCCCCTGCATGTACTCTTGAGGGTCCAGAGGGTCTCCTGAATTCACTGTTTCGTGGTGATGAGGTCTGGGACTTCAGTCTTGGAGAAGACCCCACTTCTTGTCTTTCTGGGCTCCTGAGCTGGTGCTACTCCACCAACTTCCCTCTCATCCTGCCTGGCAGGAGTCACAGGGGGCGGAGGGTCAAAGCCAAGCCCCCCCACAGTCTTCTGCCCTCTGATGCCCCCATGTGGAAATGCCCCTGCGTGGGCATCTTCTGCTCCCTCTCCTCTCCCCAAAGGCCTTCATTGGAGGACTCTAGGATTTCTTGGGACTTTCTGCTCTCAGACTCTCTGCCAGGTAGCAGCCAGGGAAATGGGGTGGTGCTGGGTAGCAGCCAGTTGGGGCTATTTCCTTTCCCTCCCCTTGCTGTGACCCAAATCCCAATACTGCTTCTCCGTGCCTGGCTATAGTGTTGTGTCCTGCCTTCACCAGCATTGACTCCTTGACTTGCCCTGTCAGTTCTGAAGTTCTTCAGTCTGCAAGTTGTGGGCGAGGGACCATCTCCTTCCACCCTTCCCTTCCTCGCATGAAGGGAAGGTGGGTGAGTGGGAGACACAGGCAAGGCAGGAGCTAGTATGTGCCTATCTGAGATGGTGGGGGCTAGGAGGAGAGAATGGCTGATCCCATTGCCTTGTTGGCTTACTCTGCCAAAGGGTGTTTGGGTGAAGGGAGGAGGTCAGACCTACGGCAGGATGGTGAGGAAGGGAGACACTTAGGACCTTTGTGTCCTCCAGCATCGCCTGTTGGGAGAGGATGCTCAAAACTCAACGTTCTCACCATTGGTCCCCTCCCCACCTTAAAAAAATCAGCCAGCAGATTCAGGGAGGCGAGGTTTCCAGTGGCTGGCATTGAGATGAGACATTTGTGTTTTCCTTTCAAACTTGGTCACGGGATCCCAGAATAATTTTAAGAAGGGGATTAGGCCTGTCAGCCTAGCACCTGGGGGAGGCTGAGATCAGAAGGATCACGATTCGAGGCCAGCCTGGGCAGAAAGTTTGCCAGACTCTTCTCTCCAAAATAACCAACAAAGAGGAGAGATAGAGGTGTGGCAAAAGTAGTGGAGTGCCAATCCAGCAAGCGCAAAGTTCCTGAGTTTAAACCCCAGGAGGAGAATGGGGCTGTAGAGAGGAAGATGGCTCCTGGGCCAGCGCTGGCTCTCTCCCAGGTATCCTCCCGAAGGCCAACATTTCTAGGAGCTCTGCTCAGGGCCAGGCAGTGTGGGAGGTCGTTCACAGACACGGTCACTTTTACAGCCTCTGAGACAGATCCTATTATTTCCACTTCACAGCTGGGGAACTCTCGGAGCTCCAGGAGGTTGGCAGCCATGGGGAAAGGAAGGGCAGACATCAGAGTTTGGCTGCAGGCCTGGGCCCAGAGTGATGTGATGATGTTCACTATGCTTCCCACGGGGTGGAGGTGGCTGGGGAAGGGAAGGGGGGGAGAGGGCTCAGCTGTCCCAGGGTAGAGGTTGGGGAACTTGCCCACTGCCCCGTCCTCATACCATTTCTGCTTTTGGAGGCTGAGGGATGGTTTTGGCCTCGTTGGCCTCTCTTCTGGAAGGTTCTTCAGTCATTGGGCAGATGGCATCTTACTACAGGTGACTCCTACGGCCAGCTCTGGCTCTACTTGACCAGCCATGCCTGGGGCTTCCCAGTGACCTGCCCTCCTGGCTCTCCAGCCATCCTCCCTCTTGGCTCCTGAGCTGTGCCAGGCCTGGGCCATCTGGGCAGCAGCTGCTGTGGCTTCCTGTAGATGGGCTTCCTGTCCATTGGCTGGCAGACTCTTGGCCCTGGACTGTCCCCCTGAGGACTGTGCCTTCTCAGTCCTCCAGTGCCACAGTCTGAGGGTACAGAGGAAGTGGATGGGTACCCAGGTCCTCTCTTCTCTGCATGCTCCCCACCCCGGCCCCCCTAAGAATACAGATGCTTTGGGCTTTGCCAGGTGTGGGTAAATCTGAGCCTCTTCAGCTGCAGGCCAGAGGCCAAGCCAACTTGGCAAAGAAACCGAAGTCTTGCTCTTCTAGCTCCTGGCCTAGAAGATTAAGAGTTGGAGGCAATTTATTCCTTGATTTCTATGGGCCAAATCTAGCCTGTTGCAGATTTGATTGGTGGTTGTTGTCATGGTGCTTGAACTCAGGGCCTGGGCACTATCCCTGAGCTTTTGTGCTCAAGGCTAGCATTCGACCACTTTGAGCCACAGCACCACTTCAAACTGCGATCCTTAAATCTTAGTTTCCTGAGTAGTTAGGATGATAGGCATGAGCCATGGGCACCCAACCGTGTTGTGGGTTTTTGTAGATGTAGTGTTATTGGTACACGGCCATACTAAATTGTTTACATATTGTCTACAGCTGCTTTGAGGCCACAATAGTAGAGACTCACAAGTCCTAGACTATTTACTATCTGGTCCTTTCATAAAATGTTTGCAGAAAGCGGGGTGTCAGTGGCTCACACCTGTAATCCTAGCTACTCAGGAGGCTGAGATCTGAGGATCGCCATTCAAAGTCAGCCCAGGCAGGAAAGTCTATGAGACTCTTATCTCCAGTAAACCACCAGAAAACCAGAAGTGGTGCTGTGGCTCAAGTGGTAGAGTACTAGCCTTGAGCTGAAGAGCTGAGGGACAGCACCCAGGCCCAGAGTTCAAGCCCCATGACTGAAAATAAAAATGTTTACAGACCCCTGCTCTAGACCTCCACACATCTTGTATCTGATTTCCTAGGGCTCAAGTCCAGGGAAGCCTCTGCCCTGGGGGGTAAGCCTGGCCTAGGTGGGCAGGGCTGTGGGAAATGTGTACCCGTGTGGGGGTCCCACGAAGAGCTGGAAGTCCTGCCTGGCACAAGGGAGAGCAGTGCTAGTGTCTGATCCTTTGACCCCGCCTCGTCTGCCCTGTCCCGCTTTAGCTCTGCCCCAACATGGCCAACAAGGGTCCTTCCTATGGCATGAGCCGCGAAGTGCAATCCAAAATTGAGAAGAAGTATGACGAGGAGCTGGAGGAACGGCTAGTCGAGTGGATCGTCATGCAGTGTGGGCCCGACGTGGGTCGCCCGGACCGTGGGCGCCTGGGCTTCCAGGTGTGGCTGAAGAATGGCGTGGTGAGTGACCCCCTGGGCAGGGCGCTGGGGTGTCCTGTCCTGCAAGTCCCAGGCAGGCTCTCTAAGGAGAGTGCCCTGCTGTGTCTGGTACCTGGCAGATTCTGAGCAAGCTGGTGAACAGCCTGTATCCGGAGGGCTCCAAGCCAGTGAAGGTGCCGGAGAACCCGCCCTCCATGGTGTTCAAGCAGATGGAGCAGGTGGCTCAGTTCCTGAAGGCTGCCGAGGACTATGGGGTCACCAAGACTGACATGTTCCAGACTGTTGACCTCTTTGAATGTACGGAGGAAACCCAGGGCAGGGGCTGGTGGGCAGGTGGAGAAGATTCTGAGGGAAGGAGGGGGAGTAATCAAAACAGGCCACAAGGGATGTGTCAATCTATGCCTAGCAGGAATGGAATAATAGCCCGATTCACCCCACAGAGGCTGGGGTGTACCTCAGCTGTTGAGTATTCTCCAGCATGCACAAGGCCTTGGGTTCGATCACCCCTAAAATGAGTTTATACTATGCTACAACACCCAAGGACTTACTGCAGGACTTACTGAAGTCCTATTTGGTTCAAGGGCACTTCCCTTTAGTTTGACCTTATTTTTCCTGGGAGACTGGGGCAGACATTGGCTTGAGTGTTCATCACCACCTCTTTTTCTCATAGGCAAAGATCTGGCAGCAGTGCAGAGGACTCTGATGGCTTTGGGCAGCTTGGCAGTAACCAAGAATGATGGACACTACCGTGGCGATCCTAACTGGTTTATGAAGTATGTGGCCCCGGGCATCCTTGCCCTCTAAGCTCGGATCTCTTTGTGGGGTGGGGTGGCTGGGGCTGGTCAGTTTAGGAAGACAGTCAGGTGAGGCTGATAGCCAGGAAGGTACCCAGAGAGGGAATTAAAGGAGTGGGACCTTTATACATCTTTTTTTTGTGTGTTTGCTGGTGGTCCTGGGACTTGAACTCAGGGCCTGGGCACTGTCTCTGAGCTTCTTTGGCTCAAAGCTAGTGCTCTACCTCTTGAGCCACACACTACTTCAGGCTTTTTCTGAGTTGTTGATTGGAGAGAAGAATCTCATAAACTTTTCTGCCCAGGCTGGCTTCAAAGCATGAACCTCAGATCTCAACCTCCTGAGTAGCTAGGATGACAGGCATGAGCCACCAGCAAGAACCTTTATACTTCTTTATACTTCTTGATCCTTCCTTCCTTTTCTTTTTTTGGGGTGCTGGTACTGAGACTTGAACTCAGATCTTTTCATTCTTTCTTGGCTTTTTTTTTTTTTTTTAAACTGGAGCTCTAACAACTTGAGCTATGCCTCCACTTCTAGATTTGGACTAGTTAATTGGAGATAAAAGTCTCACAGACTTTTCTGCCCAGCCTGCTTCAGACCATCATCCTCAGATCTCAGCCTCCCTAGTAGCTAGGATGTCAGGCATGAGCCGCTGGCACCTGTCAAATTCTTTCTCTCTCTCTAGTCTTGTGTGCTCAAATCCATAGCCCATGGAGCCAGTTGGATTAAGGGGAGAAGAAAAAAAAAGAAGAAAAAGAAGAGGAGAAACAGGAACTGGACAAAGAAACAAAGGGATGAGAACAGGTGGAGAAGACTACATTCTGCCAATCTTATCGTGTTCCTCTTCTTCCAGGAAAGCCCAGGAGCACAAGAGGGAATTCACAGAGAGCCAGCTGCAGGAGGGGAAGCATGTCATTGGCCTGCAGATGGGCAGCAACAGAGGGGCCTCCCAGGCTGGCATGACGGGCTACGGCCGGCCCCGGCAGATCATCAGCTAGAGCCCTGCCCTCTCCAGCTGTAGCCGTCCTGCATAGCCAGCCAGCCTCACTCACACCTGTGTAGCTTCTTAGCCCTGGCCAAGCTTTGGGGCTGTCACTGGGCAAAGGTGACCGCACATGGGCAGCTTCTCCACGTCCCTGCTTTGGCCAGCTTCTTACCTCCAAGCACCACAGCCCTGACCCCTCTGCCAGATGCACTCCCACTTCTACTGTCTCTCTCTGTCCTGGGCTAAGCAGGGGGCAGTGGGCTTGGGTATATGGCCAGCACCACTGTCCTCCTTGGCCACAAAGGTGTCTTGAAGGAGACCCGGTCCAACCTCCTCGCCTCGCCCTCTCCCATCTCCTTTTGCTGGAATTTTTTTGGGATTGAAATTCAAAAAAAGAAACAAATATATACATGTCTTTTTTCTCAGGCCTGGTTGGCAGCCTTTTGCTTGTTCGGATCACTTACAGTTACGGTTCTAGGACATTTGAACAGGGAGAAGGTAGCAGCTGGGGTTGGTGTGTGTTCCTGGCCATTCTTTTCTGGTGGCCTTCCTGCCCGCTCAGGCTCAGGCCGGCTAGAGGAAGCAGGACGAGGGGTAGATGGGAACACAGGGGGAGGAAGTGCCACCGGCCCACCTGTGTTGGATTTGGGGGGGGGGGGGGAGGGGGGTGAAGAAAGGAAAGTCAGGGGAATGTTGCAACTGTTCTGATGGACTTTATTTTGGAAAAGCTGTGCAGAAAAAAAGGATTCAAGAAAATGTTGCGGTGGAAAGAGAAAAATCATCAAATCTTAGGTATTAAAAAATAAATCAAGTCAGTTAGCTCAGAAGAAGGGAGGAGGCAAAGACTGGGGGGAAAGTCACAGGCTGTCAAGCTGATAGCGGCCGGTGGCAGAGGCCATTTCCCTGAGCACTTGCGGAGGAAGACAGGGCGGTGGCCGGCTGGGGGGCCCACGCCCGCTCTCATCTCACCAGAGACTTCCTCAGTGAGGCAGCACAAGCCCTGGCGCCGAGTGGCTCCCGAGTGGCACCAGGAGCCTGGCACAGACTCATGGTTCAGGAGGAAGGGCAGGGGCGATGGCGGAGTTCAAGGCTGGCTTCGAACCAGGAGTGCAGGAGAGGATATTGGAGGCAGCTGCTTGCAGGACCGGCCCGCCAGGGCCTCGCCCCAGCCTCTCCCCGGTGCCCTCGTCCCAGTTGACCCCCACTGGGGTCCACGCTTGCTTCCTGTTGCGTGCTCCCCTGGCCGTGCGGGACCTGCTCAGTCTACACGTGGGTCAGGGTCCCCGTGACCTGGGTCACGGGCCTCACCCGAGAGAGCGGGATGGAAGCCTGCTGGGTGTGGGTGCCAATCCCTCGTCCGACGCTGCCTCACCCAAAGCTTCTGGTCGGCTGGAGGCGGCGCCCGGGCTCTGGCGGCAGTCCATGCCACTTGTCATTGAGACAGCCCTCACTGTGGGTGGCCAGAGGATGCTGTGAAGCCTCCGTTCCCGAAGGAAGCAGAACTTCCCCCTGGAGCTCGCCATGGGCGGGAGGGAGGCAGACCTGTCCGTCAGGCCCTGGGGTCAGCAGATCTGATCCTCCTTTCCCTGTAGCAGGTCTGGGGGTGGGTGCTGAGGCCCGTCCAGGGCCCTCTTGTTCTGGGCGAGGCTCCAGTCCCCTTCATGAAGCAGGTCTGGAGGGCGGCGCTCGGAGGTCCTGGAAGGGCCCCCATTCTCCATCTCCGTGCTGTCTGCAGCCTTGCTGTTGCAAAGTGGCACCGACTCTAGCTCTGTCCCCTCCTCCCTGGGTCTCCGGCTCTGTGGGGGCCAGTGGCAGGCTCCGCTCCTACAACCAGGGCTGGAAGCCATACTCCTCTGGCTCAGGTACAGTTCCAGCATGTAGTAAACAGTCCAGAAGACGGTGAAGCAGCCCACCAGCACCAGCATCTGGGAAAAAAGTGGCACGTTTATGTCAGGGGCTATTTCCAGCTCAGAACCGTGCACTTCCCTCCCTGGACTGCCTCCCCCGTCTTACCCTGCTCCCCCCTACCCGGGGGAGCACCCCTAAGAGTCGGCTAGCAAGATAGGAACAAGGCTACCTGCTCTCATTCCCTTCACCCCTCTGGGTAGCACCGGAAACCAAATCCCCTGGGGCCATCTTGCCCGCCCGGGGGGGGGGGGGGGGTGCGTTTTGGCGTCAGTACCTTGAGGGTGTTAGGAGTGAGGACGTAACCATCTTCCTCAGGGATTTTCAGCCCAGGTGGGCAGGGCAGAGCGAAGCCGTCATGTAGGTATTTTCCACTCATAGCACCTTCTAACAGCCTGTGGGGAAGAAAGGGGATCGTGGCTCCCATCCTGTCCTCTCCCCTGTGGAGAGCCCCATGGCAAAGCTGGCCAGCACAGTGTGGGTTTCCGGGCTATGGCTCTGTCCTCTGGGTTGAGCCCGGAGCTGGGGCTTGGGAGACGGGCTTCCCTAGGCGGCCTCTTCCCATCCCCTCCTGAGCATCCTGTGTGCTGACACGCAGGGCCGAACCTACCTCTGCCTGTCCCTGATGTCTACGGGGCTCCACACGGAGCCATACAGGGTCAGCTGCCACCGCTGCAGGACGCCCACCTGGAGCGGCTCATCTCCTAGGGGAGCAAGGTATTGCTCAGTAAGCCGGGCCAGAACAGCAGAGCCGGTGCCCACCCCACCCAGGGAGATGCAGACCAGTGTGCGGACATGGTTGTGTTAACTAGGCCCCAAAGACCCCAGGTTGTGTAGTGACGTCTCACCAGGTACCCTGGGGGACAGGGAGGTTGAAAATGTATTGGAAACAGAGTTTTGTCTTTCTCTCTCATATTTCAGGAATTTTGCTTGAAAGGAAGACAGTCTTAGCCGGGCACTGGTGGTTCACACCTGTAACCCCAGCTACTCAGGAGGCTGAGATCTGAGGATCAAGGTTCTAAGCCAGCCTAGGCAGGAAAGTCTGTGAGACTTATCTCCAATTAGCCACCAGAAAACTGGAAATTGCACTGTGGTTCAAAGTGGTAGAGTGCTAGCCTTGTGCAGAAGAGCTCAGGGACAGCGTCCAGGCCCTGAGTGCAAGCCCCAAAACTGTCAAAAAGAAAAAGAAAAGGGAAAATATTTCTACCACATTGAAGATTTGAAAACCAAAGGTTAGGTGAACACTTCACTTGACTGGAAAGTTGGGCTTATTTACTAATAGTACAGATATTTCTTTTCTTTTTCTTTCTTTCTTCCTTCCTAATAATGCTGCTCATAGGGTTTGAACTCAGGGCCTGGGCACTCAAGGATAGCGCTCTACCACCTGAGCTGTAGCGCCACTTCCAGTTTTCTGGTGGTTAATTGGAGATAAGAGTCTCATGGACTTTCCTGCCTGGGCCGGTTTTGAACTGTGATCCTCAGATCTCAGCCTCCTGAGTAGCTAGGATTACAGGTGTGAGCCCAGTACTCCGGTCAGATATTTCAATATGCATTGTGGGTAAGGCTTTTGCTACAGCTGTGATCTTATGAGTCACTTCAAACCTCTAGGCCTCAGTTTAAAAAACAAGACAAAGCAAAAAGCAAAAAAAAAGTGAAAATGAGACCTGCCCTTCCCTGCCTATGAGGGCTGGCCGAAGGGTGGTTATATGCGAAATGACTTGAAATGTGGTTTGTCAACAAGGATTTGTGGGGGGGTTCTGTTGTTGTTGCTATCCTAAAGAAGAGTGGATTGGTCACTTCTCCAAGAGAGGCTGGATGAATAGTATTATTTTGGGGATCAGTGCCCATTATTTAGGATGGGGCACATTTCTTGACATCTACTCTCTTCACCAATAGCAACCATTTGGATTCCTCATGGGGGAGGGGGAGCCCTTCTATAGGGTCCCTGAGATGGGGAGGAATCAGGTGACAATGGAGAGGCGGAGCTTACCCACATCTCTCACTACAAGTCTGTAGATGCCTCGTGCTCGCTCCCCCCAGCAGCGCACAGTGGAGAAGGTCCAGTCGTTGAAGCCATTGGGATCCCTGGGGAAAGAACCATGCAGAAATCATGGAAGGCACAGTGCAGGGAGCCGCCCTGCCTCCCAGAACCACGAAATCAGCTGCAGCCATTTGGGAGGCTGAGGAAGGGTCCTCAGGCACTGACTGTGCTTTGCCTCTGGGGTCTCAGGAAGAGAGGGACTTGTGTGCATTGGTGTAGTGGGAAATACCAGCGTGGAGACAGCACTGGGCTTGAGTCCCAGAGCAGAGGTCTCGAGTTATCTTTACTGTCTCAGGTACTTGCTAGATCTGACTTCTTCCTCCACTACTACAGGAGACTGCAAAGTCTACTTTTGTGTGTGTCTGTCTGTGTGTGTGTGTGTGTGTGCGTGCACGTGTGTGCGTATGTGCATGCATTAGTACAAGGGCTTAAACACCGGGCCTAGGAACTGTCCCTTAAGTTTTTTTCACTCAAGGTTGGCACTTTACCACTTGAGCCACAGCTTCACTTCTGGCCTTTTGATGGTTAGTTTGAATCTCACAGGCTTTCCTGCCCAGGCTGGCTTTGAACTGTCATCCTCAGATCTTACCCCCCAGTGTAGCTAGGCATGAGCCACTGGTGCCTGGCTGGTTTTTGCTGTTTGGGAGGAGGACGGGGTCTACTCTGTAGCCCAGGATGCCTTCAGCTTTCAGTCCTCCTGCCTCAGTCTCCCAAAGGTTGGGACTGTGGGTATTTACATGTGTACTCTGCTCCCGAGTTCTTAAAAGGATACAGAAAAGTGTATGCACAGTGTGACGGTGCCCCCCCACCCCCCCGCCTCCCAACACCACAATAAAGCATGGGATCAATGGTGTCAGCTGCCAGGGACAGCCAGGACCACGCTGCTCAGTCTGGCACGGAATCGAAGGTCTATGTTGCATAGAGAGCTCAGGAGGCCGTGGGTGGCTGTACGTACGAGTCCATGCTGCGGGGGGCACCGATGAGGGACATCATGCCACTGGGACAGAACAGCGTCAATTCCAAGCTTCCGCGCCGTGGGTGGCTGATGGAGACGGTCACGGCCACGTGCTCCAGTGTCTTCAGCCCCGACATGTCCAGGTCCATCCTGCTGACTACAGGAAGTCAGGCGGGCAGCTGGGAAGGCAGCCCACCCACACTCCTGCCCTCCCGCACCCAACATTCACCAAGTCCACAATCACAGAAGCCAACTGGGGCTGTGCGCCCTAGCGGCGGACGGCGGTACTGCTGTCAAGTCACACTAAGCTCACAGTCTAGTTGGCCAAGATACAATCGGAGAACCAGCTTCGATCATTCGTTCATTCAAAAAATACCTCCTACAGTACAGTCTCTGAACCAGACGCTGGGAGTGTAGAGTTAAGCTGGGCATGTGCTGCCTTCTGCCCACACATGGAGGCAATATGATGGATGGTATGATACATGATACACATAACTGGTAAAGGGAAAGACATGAGATGAATG